AGACGTGGTGCATAATGAAGATCCGAATGTCTACCTGCTCAGGCCTAACAACCTCATGGACACATCGTCCTAAAGAAAATGCCAGATTCGAAGCGTCGCACCTCATCGTCTCGTCACCGTCAACACACTTCGATTCGCAACGATGGCATCTACATTGTCGGCGATACAGAGATTGTTGTCAAGAATTCAGGATACATGGGCTACGACACAGCACCAACACATGGTCCGCCCCGAAGCGGAAGGCTTAGTACTGCGCTGTTTTTCCTCTGTCACCCAATCCGCTGTCTCGCTCAGCTTCAGCATCACATGCAAGAAGATGGTACAATGCACATGTGCCAGGGTGGGACGGGTATGATCGACTCTGATTGGGTTCGAAGTGAGGGTCGCCGACATGGGAGATTTGAGAAAAGTTCTTACCCTTCAAAGCACCGGAAAGAGATCAAAAGAGCAGATCCAGTTGATAATGGTTCTCAAAGAGCCCGTCACCGCCGTCATGGGCGCCATCCTTCCCGCCATAGTCATGATAGCTCAAGTACAGAGGGCATATCGAGTCACCACGATGAGGTGTCCGTAAAACACAGCTCGAATGGTGCGTCGAACGAGTTTGATGTTTCGCCACGTGCCGCTAAGACACTCATGCTCCTTCCTAAGTACTCACCGATAGTGGATCGTGTGCTTTTTCAGCCTATGGTACAAGAGAACCCCAGGGTACAAGAACAACCTCGAGTAGACTTCCTGAATTCACGTCAGAGACCTGAAACGTCCCATCACAGGCTACAATGCTCCGCTTCTGGCGTCAATGCCGAAGCTAGACATCCACAAACTCCAAGCGATCAGTATTCTCGTTCTGACGAAGAGTTCTTCGATGCTTTGTTAAAACAACCCGATGATTTTGCTCCTGCTCTTAACCCAGAATTTTCGCGAAAATTGTCAGCTGTCAAAGAAGAGATCATCAGGCATTGAGTAGAGAATCTAAATAATGCATCGTCAATCCAAAAGGAGAAAAAGGTAGTCTGGACAGTCTGGGTAGTATGAACACCGCTAGCAAACGAATTGGTGTCATGGGACGATGTAAAATGTAAAGGTTTTATAGAGTGGAAGCGAGCCTCCAACACCTCCTACCCAAATATACATCTAGATGACCTTGTAGATATCTCGAAAGAACCACCGTGTCTGCTTCCAGCAAGTGTTGTCTGTCATCGTACATGTCCCGCCGAGCCCTTCTAGTTCAAGACAAGATGACGAAGATCAAAGCATGGCGTGGAAGAGGTGAATTTTGACATACAGTCGTGGTATGCGAATCGCGGTCAGTTATACGATCTTCTTCGTAGCTTCCAGTACAATGCGGGTCGAAGCGGGGCAGGCGGCCCGTGCGGCAAGGCTGCGTCATCGCCTCCTGCGCCTTCACATATTCGTCAGCTAATCCTAAGCTCCGCCGCCCTGGAACACGACTCAAAAACCCAAGACCTCTATCACAAGATCATCCGGAAGTACAAGTATCGCAGTCATGGCCTCCAACCACAACGACAACCCGTGGGCAGACCAAGGGAACCCGCAAGGACAGAGCCAGCAGAGCCACAACCCCTACCAAGCGTACCAAGACCCGCCTCACAACCCCTACGCCCAGCAACCACCCCCGAACCCATTAGGTCAACATCCCCCTCAAGAGCCGTACGCACAGTACCCGCCTCAACACCAGGACACCTCACCGTGGAGCCAAGAGCCAAGCCAAACTCAATCTCACAATCCATTCATGCAGTCACAATCCCATGACCCTTCCCAACAGTCCTACCAGCAGCAACAAACCCCCCAATCCTCCTACCCTGGACAAGAAGATGTTCCGCCAGGTCTACCGCCCCGCCGCACAGCTACGGAGATGGCCCTTCCTACCGGACAGGACCGTTCGCACCAGATTGAGGTGATGCAGAGTTACGAGGCTGCGGGACGAAAAGACGACGATGACGAGAATGTTGAAGCGCTGCAGCGAGAATTTCCAAAGATAGATGGAAGTCTGATTGCAGCGATCTACGGGGATACCAAAAGCTTGAGCGCTACAAGGGAGATGTTACATGAACTGCAGTAAGGCAACTTCGGGAAAATCCTATATATCCATGGACGACGAAATGAAGTAGGGGTAGGAGAGTCACTATACGCCGAAATAATCATGAGCACCATTATGGAGGCTTTGCAGGTACAGAAAGGTGCTGTAATTGCATAGTCCAGATGTCGGAAACGTGCCTTTCCTCCCCAACTACTCTACCAAAGACCTTTTTGTTCCTCACTTCGCGTATACTGATTCCCCTTCTTGTGTTGCTTTTCTGCAGAAGAGTTCCCGTTATCTATCTTGACCGAGTCTCACGTGCAAGGCTATATGTTCAGCTTATACTTGGGGCGCACGGGCTTCGTGCGTCGGAATTGCGTCCTAAACCTCGCAGCAGCTCGATGCGAGACTCCAATCATCGGCAAGAACGCCTTTTACGCTCACCGAAAGCACCTACAAGATTTCCGGTTCGACAATCTGCGAAAACAGTCTGATCGTGTTGGTCTCATGTATAGCACAGTGCGATGAACCAGCACAAGTCATATTTTCAGGTTCACGACATTTATCGCGACGGGAAGCATCGATATCACATGGTGTTTCACTGCCGGCAAACCTTCCGTCCTTGAATGCGGCATGCCCAAAGGGGAACCCCGCACTTTTGCCCAGCCGGCCCAGCTAGCATGACTTCAGCCCAGCTAGGACGGCATGAGTGCGTCTCTACGAAGCCTTGCCCTGGCGCACTATTCCATGTCGCTCACCTCCGCATTTGCTTCTCCGCAGGCCCATAATTTCCCCGGATATGGTCCGTGGGGAGATTCTACCAGGTTTCTGCCGCTACTTTAGATGCTTCGACATTAAGCTGGATGAGGATATGCCGATGTACATCTGTAAGTGGCTGGGACGAGTATAAAGCCTATATGTTTGTGGTTCGTAGCCTGAGTCCGTCATCACACTGTTCAGCAGTTCCTTCCTGTCAACCAGACTATTGGGTTCAGGATCTTCATTATGCGTTTCCTCGAGCTCAGAGGCAAGAGCCTCATTGCCGTTATTCTGTTGACCTCTGGTCTTGACTTTCTTCTTTTTGGATGTAAGCTTGAAGTCAATCATGTTACACTGTGGCTATGATGTCTAACGCGACTCAAAGATGACCAAGGACTCTTCGGCGGCATTCTGGGCGGCCAGCGCTTCAAAGACACCCTTGGCAATCCCAACCCAACCATGACCGGCCTTGTCACAGCCATCTATGATATCGGCTGCGCTCTCGGTGCTGTTGTGGCTTTCGTCTTCGGCGAGCGGATCGGACGCAAGCGTTCCATCATCCTCGCTAACCTCATCGTCGTAATTGGTGCTGCTATTCAATGTGCCAGCTTCGACTACTGGCAGATGTTCGTCTCCCGCATCATCGGTGGCGTTGGTGTCGGACTGTCAACAGTTGCGGTACCAATCCTGCAGTCAGAGACATTACCTGCGCATAACCGTGGTTCGCTTCTTGTCGTCCAGTCCGCCTTAATCATCATTGGAGTTGCTGTCGCGTCTTGGCTATGCTTTGCGACGCTATATGCCGATAGCTCGCTGCAGTGGCGCTTTCCTGTGGCTTGCCAGATACTGTTTTCACTACTTGTGTTGGCGCTTTGTCCGTTCTTGTGCGAAACTCCAAGATGGCTAGCATCGCGTGGAAAGATTGACGAGGTACGTAATCTATCGCATGATGAACATATCGGTCCTAACGCATTTCTCAGGCGAAGTATACCATCAGTCGACTTTTGGACAAGCCGCTGGATGATGAGGAAGTGCTGGGCCAACTCCAGGAAATCCTCGACGCGATCGCGGCAGAGAGTAGCGAGGAAGAGCCCACCTGGAGCGAAGTCTTCAGCAACGCAACCAAGACCCGCAATCTACACCGTGTCATTCTCGGAATGGGACCTTATATGATGAACCAGTGGAGTGGCATCAACGCCCTGTGCTACTACCTGGCCTACATCTTCCAGCAGTACCTCGACTACTCCCCGAGCATGTCTCTCATCCTCGCCTCAGTGGCTTTCACTCAGTATGCTGTGTTCTCGTGGCCACCATACTTCTACATCGACAAGATTGGGCGCCGATGGTCGGTTATGGGCTCGTCAGCCGGTTGCGCAGCATGTATGGCTATCATCGCCGGATGCCTGGCCAAAAACAGCTATGCTAGTGCCGCAGCAGCAGTCGCCTTCATCTTCTTGTATCTCGACTGCTTCACCCTTGGTATATTGCCTGTGTCTTGGTCCTATTCAGCCGAGATTCAACCTCTCCGTGTCCGAAACAAAGCGACAGCTGTCGGCGTCTTCTCGCATTGGATGTCAAACTTTGTTGTTGTAATGGTAACTCCCATTGGTCTGGACAACATCCGCGGTCATTACTTCTGGGTCTGGGCTGCTGTTTGCGCATCCTTTGTGCCACTCACATACTTCTTTGGTGTCGAAACATCTGGACGCACGCTTGAGCAGATTGATATCATGTTCTATGAGCAGCCGAGGCTGTGTATGGGGCTCAATCCAGAGAACCGAAGGGTTGTACGGGCGAGCAAGTCAGATGAGGAGAAGAGATTCAAAGAGTTTGCGCACGTCAACGAAAAGAACCAGGCTGTTATGGAAGAGAGAATGAGCCAAAGCGACTAAGATTTTGCATACGCTGTATGAAGGGCTGCAGAGAAGACTAGTGTCTTGCATCGAAGATTTCGTCGACATAACATGCTTGCTCTACAACTCTTCGCATTTATCCACTTTTTTCTCTTCCTGAGTGTGAACACCTATTTCCAAGTACTCTTCGAGTACTTCAGTCGCCCGCTGAAACTATCCAAACTTGTCTACCAATCGATGACCCGGTCTTTCTCTGTGTTGTATGAACAAATATGCAATGCCAGCTCCGTTGCACAGGCTACATGATTTTTAATCCCTCATTTCATCGTTGGAATATTCGTATAAAACTAAGGCTGAGCTTCCTGCTCGAGCACCTGCTGATTTTCAAGGGCCTTGATGGCCCACGCTGTAGGTATGCCTCGATTTCCAATCGTCTTCTTACTCCTGCCGAAACGGGATATCCATCCCATTTCCCAACCTCCATCACATTCCTGCAACGCTTTGAGAAACTCTATATCAGAACGAGTATCTACATTAAGTTTCTGGCATGATAGAACACGCGAGGCGATTACGAAAGAATCTCCGGGGCGATTGACACGCTCAAGCAGAGCCTCGGCCGCTGGTTGACGTAGTGACTGAACCTCAGGCGCACTCGGATTGTCCTCAATGAGGCATGCCAAAAAGTACAGAAAGGTCTCGCTGGCAAGGTAATGTTCTGAACCATCGATATGGCCACGATTCAAAAGACTGTGACGGATGTGTTCCAGCTCAGGTTGTACTTCTGCGCCGCGTCCGTATCGATAAAGGACACGGACAGCATTGACCATAATGAAAGGACATGCGCGAGGTCGCTCGTTGCCGAAATAAATCATAATTAAGCCGTCTTTAGCATGTCTGTTCTCAACTATGCGATCCAGAACCGGGTTGGCAGAGGTTGCAGGTGGCGAGAATGTAAGTAAGGCGAGCGAGGTATCATCGACATCCAAGGGATCTTAAAGTGAGTGTATCGAATTAGCATAGATACAGAAAAGTGCTCTTAACATTTACTTACATGTTTTCGTTGTACCTACCGGAGCACCATTGAAAAAGTTCCATTCCTTTGCCTGGTGACGAGCCTGTCTGATATCCGCTTTAATCTCGGCATTTGAGACGTTGGGTGGTGAAAGACTGATGACGCTATCATCGTTCAGCTCGATGTGTATCAGGAATTGGGCAAAGTTGTCGACCAACACAGGGCCATCCTGAATACACGAGACGTGATTGTGGGCATTCGCCACCATGTATTGACGTGCTCTCGTAACAGGGTCCATCAGCTTGTTGCGTAATTGACGGACAAGAGCAGCCGAGGAGTTGAAGACAAAGCCTTGAATCCCAAATGTGCGAGCTGCGTTGACGTTCGCGACTTTGTCATCCACGAAGATGGCTGAAGATGGGTCGCACAAGTTGATGCTATTCAGAGCGTGTTTGTAAAACTACAAATCAGGCTTCGTCATACCAACCTCAAAGGATAGAAACGCGTCGTCGAACAAGTCCCAGTCAGACAGAACAGTCTTGATAAGGGCGAAATGCTCCTTAGCAATGTTGCTCGTAGCGTAAACCCTAAGACATCCATTGAGCTCTGCTTTAAGCTCTTTCAGCTGGCTTATGAGCTCTTGGTCGAGACGCAGTGTTTCATGGCACTGCAAAAGCCCTTTGTGTATAGCTTCAGGATCGAGGGAGAGTTCCTCGCTAATGGCTTTGATAGCTTCTTTCTCGCTGATGTGGCCGCGTTCCAGCTCGGCCCATGTTGGTGACCGCATGACACTATGGAGTTCCAGAGGAGAGATTGTAGTGAGGTTGTTGGTAGACCAGTGGCAGAGTACATCGCCAACATCGAGAATGAGCGTACGCTGTTGTTGCGAATTCATAGCGACTATAGTGGCGTAGATGGTTACTGCTCAAAGTGTGGAATGAGGATACGAGTTTCTTCGTCTTCTGCTTAGTATCAAGGATGTAGTGATAGATGAAGATGAAAATATGCTTCAACATCCTCTTCTTATATCATTGAAAGATGTACTCTGTGATAGCCTCGGATCGTTCTTTGCTGATGCTCATCAAAAGCATTACAAACGTTAGCCAGACGTCACTCAAGGCGTGACCTGCACACCGCTTTCTGCTCATTTTGATTTCGGATGAGGCCATTGTCGATCCACTGAATGCGAAGGAAGCCACTGTGGCAACAGTAGGAACAAAGCAGTCGAACCAAGGTTGTAGAAAGAAGGAGATGCCGGGTCAACACCACTCTGGGACCCTGAAAGCGGCGGTGTACTGTCTGACTCCACTTTTGACCTGCTTGGGCGAATGTTTGCTTTTGCGAAGATACGTTGTACGGTGTCACATCTTCGAATCCCGTCGGCACCGTGCCTCTTGGCCCTGAGGGTAATGCCCATGGTAAGAGAATATTCTCAAAGCAGTGGTTCATGTGCCAGTGCGAAAGATCTATGGGGCATATATGATGACCTAATTCCGTTAAGCTAAGAGTATTCATCCTGACAGACCAGTCGCTTACGTGTCTCTTTGGCTACCCAGTACCTTCGCATCGAACGTACGCAATGCGAGATGTGAAAGTACTTGTGGATCAGGATGTCATTCTCCTCCGGCCGTGAAAGGTAGTCTGCATCTAAATATCGTCCTCTTGCTCTAATAGCATCAACCTCAGGGTATCTCTCGCTGAGCCAAGCCTGGTATTCCGTCTCTTCTGGAGTGAGCAGTTCCTTTAGATATATCGACCCATCATCGATTCTCAAAAAACCACCTGGAATGCAGCACATCATCCTCAATGGAAACCCACTGGCTCACATTCTGCAACTTCAGTGGCAGTAGATATTGCGGTCCGTTGCTGCCGACAACCTCATCGAAGCGACGCCACGGGTGCCTCTGCCCTGGGAGAAAGAGCGCGCTAAGGGAGAGAAGTATGATGACGAACAAAGCGAGAGACAGATACCTGATCAATCGACTTCCGACTGGTCGCAATACCATCGTGCCTGGTTCCCCGTTGATGGAGGTGTCGTAAGAGCTGCGCATAGGTATCGGGAAATACGGTCTCCACGTCGCAGATGTGTCGATTGACCCAGGCTTCTATAAGGAACAATATTCTTTCTCAGATGGCGAAAGCAGAACCGAACTCTCCGCATGGAAGTTCGATGCAGTCATGGCGAACGTAATTCCGGATGCTCCACTGAATAGGAAAGCGACACTTTCCGACTTTGAATGTGAATGGACAACCTCTGCGACTTGAGAAAACGCTTCTTTCAGAGACCACTCTGATTCCTCTGTCGTCGGTGCGGCACACAGATGGAACAAGGCTGTCCTGGTTCCTCGAACAAAAACACATGAAGCAGAATTGCGATTTGCGCAGTGTTCGATAAGCCTTTCCAGAGTGCAGCTGGTGTTAGGGAGCATGCCGTCAACGCAGCAGACGACATCCACGCATGCAGTATTTACTGAGGCGATCGTGTCAAGTGTTACTGAAGGTAAAACGAGACGTGATACGTAACGAAAATGAAGGTGAAGAGTCTATTAAGTCGAAAACAAGATGATCTGGGGATGCTTGAGTATCGCAAGGGACTAGCGCTTGCGCCACAAGACTGCAGGTGCAAGGATGACCTCCGGGCGTAAGCAACACTCAGGATCACCCACTAGGCACTATCTTCTCTCATAATGACATTTATCTCCGTCCTTGTTTCTACAACTCCGGACCCTCTTCACATCACCCCACTGTTCTGTCAAACATCATGGCTGCAGAAGCCGATCAGCCCGCGCTTACAGCTACTGGTAGTACCTCATTCTACACGCATTCGACAGCTTTGTCCGCCAATGATGCAAGCAACCTATGCATCACTTCTCTGACATATCCCCACCTGCATCTTCGACTTCCTAGCACGGAGGATGCTGCTGCACTTCTACGTCTCTTCACTGACTATCGTAATATCCAGTACGACAAGTCATGTTCCGGACTAGATAGTGCTGACGCTATAGATCATCTGATCAAGCAATGGCAGATCGTCAATTTACCGTTGCAGCGAGTCAACATTGTCGTCGTGATTGACGGAAAGACTGTCGGCACCGGCGGCTTGGGTTGGATTGGCAGGAGGAAGACTGATGGAAAGCTGGTAGGCGATGCGGGATTGATGCTGGAGACGGAATTCCGCAATTCAGGCTACGGATACGAGTCGCTATGCATGGTTATTGACCATGGCTTTTGCGTTCTGGGCATGGACGAAGTGCACATAGCTTGTGTAGACGCTAATGCTGCGTTCAAGGGTCTGATGAACAAAAAGTTAGGGTTTCAGGCTGAAAGAATAGAAGACAAGATGTTCGGAAATGAATGGCTCTGGCGCATAACGAAAGAGGTATGGGCAGAGAGTCCGCACTCTGCTCAAGGTCGAGCTTGACTTTGGGTGGACTAACAAGAATCATTATAGGAGTTCGTTAGTGGGAGTTACATCAATTCACGCATACAATGATGTTTCATGTAAATTCCAGAAGCACTCCTCAATGTCTTTAACAAGATCTGTTGTATTGGCTTGTTGGAGAAGAAAAGAATGAATGAACAAGCAGATTCTTCAAGTAACAGCTTTCCCACCTTCTCATCGCCACCTCAAATTCAATAGAAATCTAATGGATAGCTACTCGAGACGCTTCACTTGCTACCAACGTACTGGATAGCTCGTTTGCTACCAACGTACTGAATTGCTGGCTCGGATTCGGCCTCGCGTTTGCTACCAACATATTGGATAGCAGGTTCAACTGTTGCTTCACGCTTACTTCCAACGTATTGGATTGCAGGTTTCGGCGTCAGCTTCGGGTTTGCTTTCAACGTACTGAATGGCAGGCTGCAGTAGATGCGGTAAGCTGCCAGATAGATCGGATGGATACGGATAGATGATACCCTTCTTGTGTAGTTCGTGATGATCGCGCAGTAGAATTCAATCAAGGACAACGAAATAGCGTATGCAGTAGGTATATGTTGGTAGCTTTATTGTGTGCACATTGTAGTTTCCAAGAACCCGTGCGTTGAAGCCCAACAGCGTAGAACCATCAAACGTGAAAGTATTGCTTTGTTTTTCGATCTGCAGGATTGACAACCGCACGTGTGTATCCCATATCGGTGCGCCGTTGAGGAGAGCACGTCGCAAGTAAGCGTGAAACGCACAACGTGCACATAAAGTCTCACGTTCCCCGCATCCTCCTGGCCGGCGTCCTTTTCGTACTTCACCCCATCACAACACCATGATTTCAACATCGCTGATAAAAAACAATATTTCCAAGGCTGCGAGCAAGGCGGACGCTGTTCTCCAGAGCAATGCTGGTGTAATACTGATGCTTTCAGCCCAAATATGCTCCACGATCCTGGCAACATTGGGACGCGTCCTACGAACAAATGGCAGCAGCGGCTCGGACACCAAACCGATTGGCACTTCCGAAGTATGGCAATTCGATATTAGTCACCAGCTTTTTGTATTGATGGCTTCCAGATACTCATCGCAATGATGCTAATAATCACCATTCTTTCCTGGACATACGTGCTTGTCTCCCCGGCGGTAACCCCTGGTGGGGTTTTCGGTCCCACCAAATTGCGCCCACTTCTCATCGTAAGAGGCATCGCCGGCTTCTTCGGAATTTGGGGCTTCTACGTCTCTCTGCGCTATCTCGCGTTAGCTGAGGCGACTCTGATCAACTTCCTTGCGCCGGTTTTAGCCGCTCTTCTACTCGGCTTGCTACCAGGCCAGCAGCGCTGTTCCGTCGCTCAAATGCTCGCAGCTTTAGTTGCGGTTCTGGGTTTGCTCTGCGTACTGCAGCCTTGGAACGCTCATATGACGAACACGCCCGGGGACCATGCGCTGGCTGTTGGTGCCGCCCTAGTTGGTGTTGTCGGTGGCGCAGTCTCCTTCTTGACGATGTCTTGCCTAGGGGGTCATGTACACCCGATCACAACCGTTGCATACTTCGCACCTATTTGTACGGTACTCAGCGGCGCATCGCTCATCATACAGCAACAGAGCCTGAGCTTCCCAGCGACCGCTGTACAATGGCTGCTCGTTTGCATCTTGGGTGTTTTGGGATTCGCCATGCATTGGCTCATGGCAGCCAGCTTGATGACTGGCGATTCAAAGAGAGCGCTTCACATCGTTTACGTGCAGGTAGTGTTTGCCATGATAGCCGACAAGATTGTGTGGAGATTGGACCCGGGATGGTGGAAGTACGCCGGAGCGCTTTTGATTGTGGGCAGTGCGATATTTGTGGCAGCGACGAAGGAAGACCGAGGATATACGCTTGTTGGAGAAATAGATATAGAAGAGAAGATCGAGAACGAAGATGCCGGCCCCTAGTGTGGGATCGATTAGAGCTGCGGACATTAGTCTAAACGAGCTAACGCTTTGAGAATTAGCCACTATCGTCATCGAGCGGCCGTGTGTGACCAACCTCCCTAATTTCTCCTCTAACCCAGCTAAACCAGTTTGCCTGTTACGAACACCCCCCAGCAAGCTGGTGTCTCCTATATCTGACCGTTGGCATCGCCTCACATCACCATATTCATGTCGCACACTAAATTCGAAAGTTTACTGAATCTGGCTCTTCATTTATCTCCTATACAAGCCCATGCATCATCGTAAGATGAAGATTATTCATAGCTCCCTGTCGTCTTTCAGAGGACTCGTCATGTCTGTTCATTATGGTGTGTCGTACTTTGTTGTCTCAAGTTCCGTACTCGACAAAGTATCCCCGATGCATTCGTTTTCCTTTGCAAACCTCTGTCGGCTTATCCCGCTGTGGGTCGCGCTTGAAGTCAGTCGAATAGGGGGACGGATCAGCGCATACAAGACGTCCTGCATTTCCTTTGCCATCGTTGTAGTAGCTGCATTCCTGGCGGCCATCATATCTAACTGGAACCGTGATCTGGCGGTGTGGTTAGTCTTGACTCTTACTGAGACGTGGACCGCAGGTACAGTCAGGACATTACATGATCGCTGAGACAATAGTGGGAAACGTTGCGCTTACTTTAGTTGGAAAAGGCGGACTGTCTATGTTGGCGGTGCCAGGATGAGGCCATAACTTAACCAGCTCGAATTGCTCGTCAAGGCCGCACATGTCGACTCCAATGCCCAGAGGGCCCTGGAAGAGCCACCAGAAGTGGTTGCCGAGCATTTCGCCGAACACGAGTTGAAGCGAACTATCATTCTTGTTTGTATTAGTAGAAGCTTGGGAGCCTTTGAGAGATAAAGAGATGTCGTACCGCGCGTTCAGTGAGATCGGAAGGCGTAGGCTGGGAAATAGGTGAGGCTGCGATAACAGCCAACAACCCGAAGACCCAGACAAGGATGGTAGAAAGATGAATCATGTTGATTGTCTATTGCTTGCAGTCCGGTATACTTGGCAAGCCGGAAGGTGGGTGGTGGTAGGGTAGAAGGAGATCAGAGATCTGTTCGGGGTAGACCTGCTTATATAGAAAGAGAGCGGGGTGCCTGGACCTATGAGCGGGGACTCTCACCAGTGAAAGGCGGTCAAATTACAGTGGTGATGTGGAGGCTGCCTGGAGAACACATCGAAATGGACAAGACTGTTTCACTTACCATTCTGGCGATTCGCATACGTAACGACATCAACCTGGAAGACTTGTCGCCTATGAGTTTATTATGAAGGATGGTTGAGCAAGGTAAGTGCGCGTATGATGTACCAGTAAGAATCAGGTAATTTGGTCATGGGCACGCACTTTCCGAGCTAGGTTGTCCTCGATCCAGCTTCAGAGATCAGCCGCTCTTAGTACCTACAAGAGTACATACGATGATAAGACCGACCGTTGCAATTGATAACCCCTTTGTAGTATTCTGGATCTTGCTCACAGGGCATGATCATTCAATCGCCACAAATCAGTTCCCCGATATCGCCGTTACCGTGCGTCCTCCATACGCAATCGTCATGGTCCATCCACTTGAGGAGTTTGAGGTCCATCTAAAGACTCGTGGTTAGCAACTCCGTATAACCACCATCTAGCAGAATCCAGTGCGATGGATATGAGAACTTACAGCAGGAGCACTCGGGGGATTGTCGATGGCGTCTCGCCCGTAATGGTAGGGGCCGTTCATGGAGGCAAATTTAAACGGATCAGGATAGGTACAGGGCTGAACAGCTTGGCCAGATGGGCCTTGGAACATCTCCCAGTAGTACTCGGTACCCGACGCTCGGTTAAGGAGGACTTGGATGGAGGCATCGTAGAAGTCCTTTGGACTGGATTAGTATGTAACTTTTTCTAGATGTTTGGAAGGCTGACCGAGGAAATTTTGGTATCATTGCCCGATACCTGTGTGACGGGGTCCTCGGTAGGGTAAGCGGAAGCCGTGCCCAGTAAGAAAGCGACTATGCCGATGAACAGTGAGAACAGCATTTTCGTATTTTCTGGTGCAGTCTTCAGTCCAGTATGTGTTGCTTGTTTCTACGAGTAGTGTGAGAAAGAAAGCATGATATCACAGAGCCAGTTCTTATAGTGAAGACCTTATAAGCTGGGCAAAACTGAGGGGCTGACACGTAGACGGCGGACTACTCGGGTGCCAAACGACGCAGGTCGGATCAAAGCGAACAAACACCGCCCTCCTAGTGAGGCCTTGCCAGAAGTAGACAGATGACCATGATACGGATCGTGGATTTACCCATCGTGTAGGTTGGTAATCATCTTTTTACTACGAAGAAGTCTAGTACTTCAGTAGTTCTACCCGTTACGGTGGCGATCCATCTAATTTCACCATCTTCAGTACGCTCCTTGGGCGAGGAAACGATTCGTTTACTGAGTTCAATTCCATGGCCCGACCATATCAGTCTACCAATTACAAGCCCAGCCCCGATGGACCGAGAAGCCATGGCAATTGATAGCACCGTCGTTCCAGCTCGCGTCTCGCTCGCAATCCATAATCATCCAATCGCCACAGATGAGTTGACCGGGGTCACCGCCGCCGTCGGTTTTCCACTTGCACTCGTTCTTGCTATTGTCCACAAAGGAAAGCTCTATCTGCAGAACCGTCAGTCACCCATCCCTTTTATATCTCTAGAAACCATTTCTTGTGTATATCGAACGGATTTTACCTACAGCAGGTGGGTTCGGGGGATGATCGATATCATCTCGTCCGTAACCGAAGACACCGGACATGGCCGCGAGACGGAACGGTTTGTGGTTTGTCCCGCAAGGGTTTGCTTTCTTGCCGTACGGACCTACAAACAACTCCCAGTAGTAGTCCCTGTATGATTCCCGATCAAGCATGATCTGGATGGAGTTGGTGTATCCCTCAGCTTGCTGTGCTTGGTTAGCAAAACTGAGCGACTGGACAAACGCTAGAAACTTACAAGGCCGTGTGCGGTGCGGTTATTCTGCAACTCCATGCTCAAGTTCTGGATAGGTGTTGCGAGACTGGAGCCAAGCAGGAGGCCTGCGGACACATACATAAGGAAAGTGAACCACGCGAACATGGTGAGTGGTTTGCAAGTTTGCTCGTTCGAGTGGTGGCAGTGCAACTCGGTGGTAAGGTAGAAGTTAACGAAAAGCCTACGCTGAGGAGCTTTAATTCTTTGTGGTACTAGGCGAAGCTGACTTATCCCTCTGGCGGTAAAAGGTCGGAAAATTTAGGACGTGCGCAGGACAAAACGAAGTCACGGATCTGCACGTATTCAAGCACATGAGAACGAGGGTGAAAGAGAATGCAACTGTGACATTTTCACTCATGCTACACAAAATAGTGTATCGTCTCTATAGCTAAAGGTGTGGATCAAGAGTTCCAATCTTGGCCTAAGAAAAGCCTGGTTCCCCATCGCCGTCACTCTGCGGGTAAGCGGTTTCCCATGTTCAGAATTCACAAACCCAAGCGGCAGCATAGCGGGGACGTGGATTTCCGCAAGTAATCTGCTGCCCGTACCTAAAATCCTTTTTGCAGTCGACTATGTACTCGTCGCCGCAATGGAATTGACCAGGGTCTACACCAGTAGCGTGATAGACGCAGTTGTTACGGTTGCCGTACTTGATCTTGACGTCGAACTGGAAAAGATTTAGCAGACGCGACGCATATAGCGTGTGCTAAATATCAACTCACCTCGGGGACGAAAGGTTCATAGTTCTGGGGAAAGGGAGGCTGAACCATGTCTAGCTTGTCGGTATGCCATCCGGGCTCGCCATGATAGACCTTCTCGAAGCGAGTATCACCGCAAGGGTACACAGCAATGCCGCTAGGTCCTTGGAAGATATCCCAAACATAGTAAAAGGGCTTGACCTCCGAAACTTGGATCTGTAGAGAGTAGGGGTAAGGGCCCTGGCCTCGCAGTACGCCCTTTAGTGCGTCAGTATGGAGCTTCGCTTCAATATTGATGTGACTTACTGGAGTGACGTCGCTTGTGGTCTCCTCAACGGGTGCGGCAAGAGCGAAGCCGAGGCAGGCGATAATGCCTACAAGGAAGGTGATCCAAGAAGTCATCATCATCGAGAATCTTTGGATGCTTTGGTCGTATGATGTAAGTAAGTATTGTGTGAGTTGATAGAATGTGTTGGACTGGAGTAGGAGACGGAAAATATCACTGGATCGTGGTAACGGGCGTGACCAGGCAGTCACGGCGGCCAAAGAAGGCTAGTGTCCAATGGAGCAAACAGAAATTACCATAGTGAGAGATTCGAATTTTAGGAGATAGTCAGTGCGCAAGACTGAGAGATCTACATCTATCACACGCCCTTCGCCATCGCCTTATGGACACTGGGCATAACCGCTTAGAACTCGCAATTATACCCTCGATGGAACTTCGGCAGCTGATCATCATCACACTTGATAGTAGCCTCATCATATCTCGGGTCCTTCGCGCAATCAATGATGTAGTGGTCTCCACATCGGAATTGCCCAGCATCGATACCCGTGCCTATGTACTTGCAGTCATCGTAATTAGAGTATTCGATCTTGGTGTATACCTGTTCAAGAACTGGATTAGCATGCAAACGCAGCAAAAAGGCCCAACCTCAAGCTCAATGGGTGGTCAAATTACCTTGCGATCGGGAAACGGGGGATGGTTGATAGCATCATCCTCATCCTGGAACATCACACCATAGAAGACGCGCTTGAATTCCGCAGGCATCTGGCCGTCATGATCCTCACAGGGATCGACAGCGATACCTTGAGGGCCTTGGTAGATGAACCAGCGGTATTGGTGGATCGCAACGACGCTAAGAAGGAGTTGGAGGGAGTATGGGTATTGCAGTGCCTGATGAACCTCGTTGTTAGCAAGAACGTTTTACGATACTACAATCTAGATGGGTTTGCTTGCATTTGTGGTGCCGCGCCTAACTATGGAGGTGTCGTTGCTGGTAAACACCTCGACGGGAACCGCTGAAACACAGCTCAGGTAGGCAAGTAGCCAAAGAAGCGAAGCCATCAGCGTTGTCATGATGGTCGGCATGTGGGCGAAGTAGGAGTGTGTGTTTGAGGTCGCAGGATGAAGGAGATGTTGTAACTCAAATTTGGGGACAATGGAGCGGCAGAAGGTCAGGTGTTATGGAGTAAGAGCGGTAGTCAGTTATGGGAAGTGGTCAGTGTGATTCAAAAACGAGGTCTGCACAGGGCAAGAACACTGTGACACACGACCCTACACGTGCCTCTATCCTTTAACCGTGCTTGCAACATGACTCGTCGACATGAATAAGTGAATTTGCGTACTCCATGCGCAAACGCGGAAACCCCACTGCCAAGGCTTTTGACTGTCGATGCCAGTCAACTGTACCTCCCTCAAGATTTTGTGCTTGGTACTAGCAAACAGATCCTCGACGATACTCCTCGTCTTCACCACAATGATAAACCGAGTAGTAGGAGGCCATGTACTACAAGTCCTTGCGGTATCGCCCTCAAATATTGACAAAATGAAGAGACTTGGTATCATCACACGTACAGAAATGGGGTATTATGATTAAACATAGAGATACCCTTCCTTGACAGGGCAGGAGACATAGCGTGCAACTCTTTCATTCACTCGTAACAGACCGTAAAGCATAATCTAATCGAAACAAACTGTGCCCAGCCCTCTGTCTTTCACCGCCTTGATAACGCTTCCTTTAATCCGCACAAGGGCGCCTTCCCATTGCTCCTTCGGGAAGCTTCCCTTTTGTGCTTCGTCACTGATGACATAGTCAATCCATTTCACCATACCGACTGCCTTGGTCATGTTCTTCTCTTCTAGGACTACTTTGTTGAGATATTTGATCAATGCAACAACGTCCTCGTTATAAGGCCCTTCATCCATGAAAGTACCAATCCATTGCCTCATGGCACCTCTCAAATCTGCCTGCGCTGAGAGTTTCTGAGTGGTAAACGTCGGTTTTGCAGGTCGAGAGACTTTGATCTTAGGTTCTTCGTTACGTGCTTGTGGTAGGGGTGCAGATTTGGTCTTTCTGGTTAAGGCGAGACAAAAGGAACTCATCTTGTCAGCTTTGTGTTGCGCGAGAACTTCTTTGCGAACATCTTCGGGTAGCTCAGCGAGGAAGTCTAGGTCAAGGTCATCTCTTTCAGACGGCTGGGTAATATCGCTTGTTTCGAAAGCATCTTCGCTTGGACCAGCGGAGTTCTCCCTGCTCACACTCTCTCGTGCCGGGTTCTTGAGTGAGATGAAATTGGCTTGAGTGAGTGTCTTGCCAGTCATGCTAATGGACTTTGCTTGTGCAGCAGCGGCGAGCATTGCGGATCTTGGCGGACGACCTCTACCACGTTTGACTGGCACAACGGGTTTCTTAGCTGGGATACCTATGATCCTATTCTTGCGTGGCGATTGAGGTAGTAACGTTTGGTCCACGCCCTTTGGACGGCGAGATGGAGAGAAGGGCGTATTGTTGGCATCATACTGCGCAAGTACCTCGGCACGAACTTCTGCTGGCAGAGCAGCGAGGATATCAGGGTCCAGTTGAGACTGGTTGGGAAGTGCTGTTGTGGCGAAAGCCATGGCTTTTGTAGGTGTGTTGGGGTTACCTCTTTTTTCTACAACTTTTGCGAGCGTGGGTGATGATTGGCGCGTTTGGCGGAGGAGTTTTGATCGTATGTCTTCTGGTAGCTCGGCAAGTACATCAGGATCCACCTGCGTAGGCATGATGAACTGTGTGCCTAACATGTTTAGCGGACGGCGAGAAGGTGTTGATGCATTGAGTGTCGGAGCGCCAAATGGAACATGTTCGCTTCCTGTCGATGCTTTTGCCTTTCGTGGGGTCTCTGGGTCGTCTTGAATGGGGTCCTCTACAATCGCTTTTGCAATCGGGTTTTCAACAGGTTTTGGAGCTCGCGCGGCACGGACAGGTCCGCCTTGGCCGACTTTGAACTGTAATCTTCGCTGAGAGCCTTCAAGACTGCCATCTGTAGCATTCTTCATAGGCTCAAGCTTCGTCAACTGCATACCGAACCCTCGAAGCTCACCCGGGGTAAAGCCCAAGCCGCGCAGCATAGCTAATGCCTCTTTCGTGAGAATCTCCTTGGCATTAGTGGCGACACCCAACATCACACTCCTGCTATGTGTGTCGCATTTGCCGTGGCCAAGATGCTTGGGAGGGTCGAGAGGAGCATCGGGTGAGCGTCGCATAACCTTCATTGAGAAATGCCTACCTTTTACTCTCTGACTCAACAATCGTTTCGACAGCTCTCCACATAAGCTTGCGATGAAATCATTAGCTTGTTGTTGATTCTCGAACCGAACGCCCCAGTTCACTTCAGCAGAGATAGACTTGCGAATATCTTGCTCACCCAGCTCTTGGCGGTCAATGCCTCTTGAGTACTCGTATAACTTTTCTCCAGTCTTGGGTCCTAAAATCTGAACGAGTCTTTCTTTTGTGAGCTCGCGAATATCCTTGACAAGTTTCACTCCTTGGTCTTCAAGCTTGCCGCCGATCGACCAAGCAACACCAGGAAGATCTTGTACCTGGAGCTGGCCCATGAAGTCTAAAACCTCTTCGGGTTTGATCTGGTACTGCCCAGCGGGCTTTGCTTTGCGTAACGCTACTTTAGCGAGCAAGACATTACTACCGATACCGACGGAGACATTACAACCAGTTTTTAACCTGACCTCATCCCGTAGATTCAATGCAATTTCCTCGGCCTTTGCTTGCTCGCGATGAATGCTGCCTTCAGAATGTTGCTTCCCATTGCTACCACCCGCAGCGATGCAAAGGTTCGAGACATCGACGAGCGCTTCGTCGATACTTACACTCTGCACCAATCCACCTGTAGCAATTATGGCCTCGTAGAACGTACGACTAGTGGCTTCGTATTCAGGAAAGTCATATGGCAAGATCTTGAGTTCCGGACAGAGCTCCTGAGCTCGCCTCATCCACATACCATTCTTGACACCATACGTACGCGCTGGGTAGTTGCAACTTGCAATTTCAGAGCCAGTACCTTGGCCGTGTGCAACCGCTGCGGGTTTGTCTTTGTATTCTGGGCATTTCTTCAAGCTGACAGCGGCGAAGAAACTGTCGAAATCCACGTGTAGGATGTAGCGCCGGGCGCCTGATGTGCGTTTTTGTTTGGCTTTCTGCGAAGAGCTCTTCTCGTCTGCTATTGCCTGCATTTCTGCTTTCAGGTCGGCTTTCCAAGTCGATAGGTGATGCAGGCGTGATTCGCGATAGTATTGCTCTAGAAAGTTAGGATCTACGACGGTAGATTTGCGAACGTCCGGGTCTCGTAAAAGTATGGCATTATGCTCTTCTGCAGTAAGCTCCCGTCCCTTAGGCTTTAGGGCGTTTGGCGCGCGCGACGTCTTTCTCGATTTGGCTTCGATCTCATTCTCGTACTCGATCTGTTGAGGTAGAGGTGGGCTCGGGTCGGTATAGAGGCTGTCGTGGACATCGTCGATAATCTCATCTACATCCGCCAGGACCACCGCAGGGCTAGTCTTGGGTGGTGTGACGAGCTTCGCAGCCCTACTTGGCTTTCCAGATATGGGTCGGTCAAGCACGTTGTCCGGCTGGTGAGAGGGCGACAGATCCTTGATGTCATCCTCTGGTGTGGGAAGTCGCTGCTCTTCATTCGAGGAGTGCGAGCGTGTGCCGATGGCTGGTGTTGGCGTACTGGAAGGACCGGCCTGACTACCCCTCAGCTGACTTGTGTACCAACTGGCATCTGTCTGATCCCGATAACCCCTCGTCTTGACGTTTACCGTGCTGGTCATTCCATCCTTACTAAAAGCCAGGACGTTCTGCTTCTCGCCTTCGTCTACCACTCGGTATTCGCTCCATGGCAGCAACTTGCCCGCTTGTATGCTGTCGACGACCCACGCGGGCTTTACGATTCGGTATCGCCGGAATTCAACAACCTTCTTCGGTGTTAGACTACTGGCGATGATGTGCGTCACCGTAGTCTTCCCGTCCAGGTATTGCATGAAGCCGCCGCCATGCTGAACTATAAGTGTATGCAGATCGTTGAGCGATGGTTGGGTGTAGCCGTTGACATGTGCCACGACCCCTTTGAATATCTGGGGCTTGTCACCGGCCTGCCGTCGTATGTCGGCATCGAGGTTTTGGAGTTTGATCTTCTTTCGCCTAAAGTAATCGTTAAAGCCGCCAAAGGCCGAACCCTTGTACTCTTCCCCATCCTCGCCGTCAAACTTGTGGCTGGCGATGCGCTTCCGGACCGACTCGGAGTTCTTCTCTAGGCGTGAGCCCATGGTGTCAGTCGTATGGTGGGTCAAGAGCGTTCATCGGGGCCGGGGTCATGATTGAGCGTCGCGAGGGTGTGTCGGCTGCGACATGTCGATATTGGTGTTGGTGATGAGAGGCGCGTCGTTGGAAGCGCGATAACGTCACGCTAGCAAGGCTAAGTGGATCGTTCTGCCGGCGGTGAAAGCACGCTAAGAGAAAGCTGCAGGACTTGGCGAACTTTTTCTACCTCTCCAAGTCGCTGCTCTCAAGTTTCTCGCTTTTCTCTGCTATCCTGCTCTACCAGCTGACCCCGAGCTGTGCAATTACCTGAGCAAAGAACACTTCAGACGACTTTCCCTCCCACCAATTTCGTCAGCTTCTCCGATTACGAACATACGACCGCTTTCAACATGTCGTCCATTCCTGTAGGCGTCTACGGACGTCGCATTCCGGCTGGAGGCATTCCCATCCTGGCTGCTGTCGACCAGTCTGTCACTGTGAGTATTCTCGATGCCTCGTGTGGCTTGCTTGCCCATGCGAAAGTTTTGCGCCGAAAATTCCAAAGAAAATTCTGTCGCATTCGCAAATCGATCAAAGCGTTCTAACCATGACCAGTTCCGCATTACTATGGCCGCTATCGACCCAGATGCTGAGCCCCAAATCGATGATGAGCACAAGCACCCTCGCGCAACCCTTAAGCTCATCCGCGTGCCCTCAGACTATGACAGCGAGGATGATGATGATGAGGACTACGAGGAGGGCGACATCGAGGCCATCGCTGCTCGTCTGCGCGCTGCTGGTGCGCTTCCTGAGGCCGACTCGGATATGTCCGACTCCGAGGACAGCGAGAACGAGAAGAACGGTGGCCCCAGCGACCCTGCCCGGTCAAAGAAGGCCAAGCAGGCAGCCCTCACCAAGAAGCTGCAAGAAGAGCTCGAGGCCGACGAGATGGACATTGACGGCATGACCAACGGCAAGGGAAAGGCCAAGGGCAAGGCCAAGGTCACCGACGACGACGATTTGAGCGACGAGGATGACGAAGATGATGAGGATGATGAGGACGAGCCTGAGGAGCTTGTCCTGTGCACTCTCGACCCCGAAAAGGTATGCTTGAGCATCATGTTTTAAGCAATATTGACTAACACTTGCGCAGCACTACCAACAACCTCTCGACATCACCGTCCGCCAAGGCGAGGAAGTCTACCTTGCTGTCAGCGGTACTCACGATGTTTACGTTACTGGTAACTACCTCGTATTCCCCGAGGAGGATGACGATGAGGATGACGAGGACGATGGTCTTGAGGGCCTCGGTTACGACATGGGTTCTGACGAGGATGAGCTCGACGAGATGGACGAGTCTGAGGACGACGAGCTCGACGGTATGAACGACCCCAGGATCACTGAGGTTGAGTCTGACGAGGAGGAAGCTCCCAAGCTCGTTGATGCCGGCAAGAAGAACAAGAAGCGGGCTGCCGAGGAGGATGCCACTCTTGATGACATGATCAGCAAGACGAATGGTGACGCCAAGCTTAGCAAGAAGGAAGCTAAGAAGCTGAAGAAGAACGACGGCCAGGCTGTTGCCAAGGCTGCAGAGCCCGAGAAGAAGGCTGAGAAGGTTGATACCCCTAGCAGCGACAAGAAGAAGGTTCAGTTCGCTAAGAACCTTGAGCAGGGCCCAACTGGCTCCCCCAAGGTCGATGCCAAGCCAGAGGCAAAGAAGGAGGCCGCTAAGGGACCTCGCAACGTCAGCGGTGTCATCGTTGACGACAAGAAGGAGGGTAAGGGCAAGGCCGCCAAGAAGGGTGACCGTGTCGAGATGCGCTACATCGGCAAGCTCAAGAACGGAAAGGTGTTTGATTGTGAGTTTCCCCAACTAATCGTGTCTTGACTCAAACTAACAATCAAATAGCCAACAAGAAGGGCAAGCCGTTCTCTTTCAAGCTCGGTGTCGGTCAAGTCATCAAGGGATGGGACGTAGGTGTCGCTGGCATGACTGCTGGCGGTGAGCGTCGTCTCACTATCCCCGCCGCGATGGCTTACGGCAAGAAGGGTGCTCCCCCGGACATTCCCCCCAACTCTGACTTGATCTTTGACATCAAGTGCATTTCCGTCGGTTAAATGTCGCTGTCAGTACTTTGCCTACGCGCAATAGGGTCCACTCAGCCCCCACCAGGATCCGACTCCACTCCTGTGCAGGACTCCACTGGCCTGCGTGCGTTCGCGCCTCTTCCCGTTTCCTTTTCCGTCTCTGTATCAACTGCATAGCGCGTCGTCTGAGATATCCGACTTGCATAATCTGGGCTGTTTTATTAGATGCGTGCAAGGAGGAAGGATCTCTCAGTCCTCTTCGCCAATGTCTTTTCCTATAGCGGGTAATCTGTAAATGATATAGCGAGGCGATATTGCCAAAGAGCAAAATTTCGCTGAGGAAGCTACTTTGAAAAGTTCTACGGTGTTCCGGTTGACATCTCGAATATGTAGTAATACATAATCTGCAAGTAACATGTCTGGTGTCTAGATATGCTTCGTATGCCCCCAATTGAAGTGATCGGTCAAGCCGCTAAGAAAGGCTTTCAATTCACATACCTACAGAAAGAGTGGCTATGACTTCACGCGCAGCCGAGGTGTCCGAGATTGCGAAGATTCTAGTGCTAGCGGCCCACCACTCACATCGCCATCTGCGTGCACGAGCCCAAAGACCCCACAATGCTTTAACCCAACTCCTCTTTCATCCTCGCCCAACTTCAACGTCAACCTGCACTCGAGCCCTCTGTTACACCAACGACAAACAACACCGTGATCACCTCAACCAACCACCTTGCCTACGCATCATCGTCCTTCGACTATCATCAAACCTACACCGACTACTAAATCAACCGTGGCAATACTGTAGCAATGGCGTCGAAACGAAGCAGTAGTAGTATGAGTAGTAATAGTAGCATTCATTCGTACTCGTCCGCGAGCAATGTCCGCGCTAGCTGCTACTCGGTGAACGCCGCTACCGCCAGCCTCCAGGGCTTCCATTACTCCACTACCCCGTCTTCCGGGGCTGGGTGGTGTTCCTGAGGTCAGCTCGGTATGTCCTCGCCTACTCTCCGAACAATACCGTCTTCTCTGTAGTGGAGATGGATAGTATATGCTTGCGGTTCTGTGGAGAACGTATACTAACTTTCGCAGGGAATTCCATCACCCCCTTCAAGTCCCCCCCTCGCCGCCAAACACGCGTCCGCCACTCGAGGTGGAAAGGCGCGCAGAGGGGGGGCAGCATACACCATCACGGGAGAGTGTGAGAGACTCTTCTGCGAGACACTGCGATCTGTATTCCTGGGTGAGGGGAGCCAGCATCGCCAGAACTCGCTAGTGATGGGTATGCCATCTGACAACGCTACGACTGCAACCACCGCTATTACCAATGACTACGGTATCGATGCACGTCGCTACTCCGACTCTTCGACTGAATCTGATGTGCCTGAAATGGTGCGATTCGAGGAAGAGAAGGGTGCGATATCCGACTACATCGAGATGTGGGATTACGTTGGTGGGATTAGGTTCCGGGGGTTTGTTGCTGAGAAGGAAGACGAGAAGGCTATGTTCATCTTCTTCGATGAATCCGTCATCAATGGTGACCTCAAGGCTGGGTGCGTCATAATGCATATTGCTTTTTCCCGATATCGGTGTACTAACATTTTACAGTCTCATGGCCCTCCTCGAACTTTGCGAAGTCGATAACTTCTCCTGCAACCGTCTCGTCCTTTGCATCGACCGCCACGCCGATCAGGCCGCCCTTAACAATCTGACTAAGGATCTGGGTTGGATCGGCTTCGGTCTTACGACACTCGACGAGTTCAGCCAAGGCGAGGAGTTGACAAGCAAGAAGTGGCTGTTCATGGATATGGAGATATAGATGTTGGGCAGATCGAGGCATGATCAGGGTTCTTGGTGTCTGTCGTTACAAAACAGCATATGCTCCGAGTTTCTCTTTTCTTGGGGAGTTCTGCATAGCGGATGGGGGCGTTCATCCTTATTTTGAAGTAGCACGCAAGGAGTCCGGTCGCTGATCTATTGTGCGTGGTTTCCTAGTAAGGTGTTCTCCGCTTATCGGTCAATAGTTGAATGCAATGTTTGTATTTTGATTCCATTTCTGTATGCTGTGAAGCTCCAGTGAATAGCCTACGTCTAATACAGTTTTTAAGCAGGAGCAGATAGACGCATAATCTGTTAGGAGTATAATAGTCAGGAACACGGCACAGCATGTGCTTTGGTTGTCTATTCTCTTTACTGTCCAAGATTGTACTATTTCACCTCCGACGCGTAGCCAACTACCTGAGAATATCACTAATACCACCATACATAAAGCCCATGTATTTTCTGGGTGGTGCCACAGCTCCGGAGTCCTATTCGTCGGCCAAATCAGCCATCTCAGCATCAACGTCCGCCGTGCCCCCGAACTCGTCCACTTCATCAACCTCCATACGCTCAACTTCGGCTCTTCCTTCCAGTGCACGCATAGCTGGATTGTCTGTACCGCTGATACCATGAGCCTCCTTCTTACGCTGATGAGCTTCAAGATCCTCCAGCGACCACGACGAATGACCTTCTTGTTCTGCTCGGCTCCACGGCACACTCATATCCTTCAAGAAAGCCTTGGCTGCGCCGACAGCTTGGTCGATGGACAGCTTTGTGCTCTTGGCGTCGAGGCCTTGTTGGATCCATTTGGGGAGTTGAGTTTGTTTCTTGTTGAAGCGTTTGTCTGCTAACACCATGATTCCGTAGTCGTCTTTACCGCGAATGACACGACCAAGACATTGGGCTGCGTGGCGCATGGCGTCGAAGGAGAGGAAGTCTGCTTCCTTGATGCGGTAGGTTTCTCGAAGGAACTCTAAACGGGCTTTCAAGATCCTCGATTCAGTGTATTGGTAGGGTACGCCCATACACAACACAGTACGGCCGTAGTGGTGATCAAAATCGATTCCTTCACTGACCTTTCCTCGTGCGACACAGAGTAGGACAGCGCCGCGGCCGTTGTTGCAAGCTGTACGGAAGGTTTCTAGGGCGAGGGCAGTTTCCTGTGCATCAGGGGTTTCGACAAGAATGAGTTTATACTTCCAGACCGTGTCGAGGATCTCCATGCCTTGCCATGCTGAAATGATGCTTTCCATGTAAAGATATGACGGGAAGAAGACGACGACGCCATCTGGAGTTAGTTTGCAAAATTCGATGAGCAGGTTGCCGAAGTTTCGCTGTACTTGCAAGTCGTTGCGATGTTCGAATTGCGAGGTAACTTGGTTCTGGTCATTGCCTCGATCGACGATCATGGGCAAGAATGACTTGCGTGTCAGCGTCATGGTAAATGATTCTTGAACCACAGTGTTGAAGTTAAGCATGCGTGGGTACATGTCGAGTGGAGACATAGTTCCGGAGGTGACGATGACGGAGTAGAAGCGTTCGAAGACGGGCTTAATGGCTATCGCAGCGTCCAGACAAGTCAGATGCAACACCGGGTTCGGGACAGTGGCTGTTGCTGATTCGAAAGGTTCGATGATCAGGAGGAACCCAGTCTCGTAGGTAGCTACTAGTGTCGCGAACGTCGCGACTTCTTGGAGAGGTTGGTAGTCTTCGATGTTTGTGAGTTCTAAAGTTCGGACAAGTGATGTCAGACGCTCAGCGCAAAATCGGAGGGGTTTCCTTTCGATGAAAGTAAGATCCTTCAAATGCTTCAGAAACTCTGGCGGTGTGTCTGCAACCACATTGAGAACCTTCATACGGGTCTTGAGATATTCGATGAAACGTTTCAGGAAGGCAACGAAATGTTCAGCTCGCCGTATGTTACCGGGTACGGCCTCTGTGAGGAGATCGTCTGGTAATGCTGGGTTAGCCATAAAGGCCTCTTCGTTTCGTGCTTCGTCGGCAGCTCGGAGGCCTTCGACAAGTTTTGCGTATTCGTTTTGCAACTTCTCTGCATCACTGCTCTTCATTTCCGTGATTTTGCGATCGAGGTTGTTGACACCCTTGGTAGCTTTCCGTAATACATCCTCTGTAAGGTCGATGCTGAGAGATTCGATGCATACGTTGTCGATGTTGTGAGCCTCGTCGAAGACGACGATGCAGTCTTTGGAAAGCTCTTTCGACACCCTGTCTGCGATCTTTGGATCTAGTAGGTAATGGTACGAGTAGATGATGACGTCGCAGTAAGGCATCATTCGCCGGGCTGTGAAGTAAGGACACTGCTTCTGCTGCTCACCATACTTCAGTATGCCATCGAAGGTCCATACACCGGGCGGTATGAGATTGTGGGGCTCTAGGAGATCCAAGTTCTCGTGATATACACAGAGCTCAACATCCTCGCCTCGCTCTTTCTTTTCCTTCACGAAGCCCGCTGTCAAGCTGCGGCATCTGGCATCTACTACGGTTCCACTCTTCTCTCGCTTGACGGACGGATGTAAGCAAAGATTTTTGCGACTCGTTAATCCAAGACCCCGAAACGGTTCCTCATAGCCCAGCTCAGTAGTACGGTACTTCATCAGCGCCTTTAATTCAGCCAGGGCTTTTTCGATCTCGGACATGGTACGCGAACAGTAAATCAGCTTCCGTTTTTCAGGGTAGTGCTGCTGGTAAGCGACGATGAGCGATAAAAGAGACACGGTTTTACCCGTGCCTGAAGGCATCTCGAGGACGCAGTGGCCGCCCTGGTCCAAGGTGCGCTTGAGATCGCACATGTAGGCATATTGCTCTGGATATACCCTCGGATACGGGAATAGCACTGGAAGGTTATCGATGAAAAACTTCATGTTGATGATCCACCGCCCGCGCGGTTTAGTTGTAGCGGAGGGGAGTTGATGGTGACAAAGTTCAGACGAGCTTGGGCGTTGCCTTCCAGTCGACGTGCAATGTCGATGCGACGCGCTACTACCAGATAGCTCTAGCGTACTTGCAGGGATATGCCCCACCATCTACCGCCTACCCACAACTGGTGCCGTCATCAAGCAGAGCCGCATATTTCGCGTAATCCGCAAACCTCTGCTATGTTGAAGTGCATGCGACACTTTGTTTCTTTGGTGTGTTTACGCAGCTGCAGCTAGCCTTGATTCTTCACCTTGCCACGAGCCTCCGCCCACACCCTATACCTAGCCGACAAGCACAGCGACATTGTGCAGCCACCCAACCCCGCCATGTCAAAGCGTACAGCAAAGGCGCAGGCGAGCAGTGCGCGGGCGGCCACGACGTCTTCCTTCGGCGCTTTCGGCAGTGCGTCAGCGGCATTCAGCGCGAGCACATCACCCCTGTCCTACGTGACCGAACCCCCAGATCTATCCGCCATCTCAGACCCGAACGTCATCGTCTACTTCCGAAACCTCTCCAAGAAGGACAGCACCACCAAGGCGAAGGCGCTGGAAGACATACAGTCATATCTCTCGACACTGCAAGAGCCAGTGGAAGAGGGCCTGCTGGAGGCATGGATCAAGATATACCCACGAACCTCGATCGACAATGCGAAAGCCGTTCGCCAGAATGCCCACCTCGTCCACGGACAGTTCGCCGTATCCGCCGGCAAGCGCATAGCAAGATACATGCCCAAGAGCGTCGCAGCATGGCTATGCGGTCTTTATGATAGCGATAGGTCCGTAGTAGACGCGACGCAGACCTCCCTCAGACAGGTCTTCAACACACCTGAAAAGCTCCAGAGCATCCGGAAGGTGTATCAACAACCCATACTAGAGTATTGCCGGGATGCGATAGACAAGGAGAGCACAGCGACTCTGAGTGACGAGCGCGTAGTCAGCAAAGACGACGCCGAAGCAAAGTACAGCCGCGTCATCTCTGCATGCATATCCTTGCTGGGTAGTTTGTTGAACAACCTACAACCTGAGGAACTATCCAAGTACCAGAACGACTACGAGTCTCTCATTGGGGATAAGAAGCTCTGGCAGTTCGCCTCATACAACGACGCTGGCATACGGCGCTCAGTGCACCGTCTCCTGAGGACATGCCTCACCAAGGAGGACGTTGCTGTTCAGGAACATCTCGACACTTTCAGCAAGGCCTATCTAGCCGAAGCCTTGAACTCCAATCAGACCGGTTCCGTCGGCGATTATGTCGAGTCCCTCACACTACTCACATCCAAGCATCCCTCCGTATGGACAGACAACTACAAGAGCAAGACTGGGGTCGATAGGCGCCTACGGCAGTTTTTAAAGAAAGGCTCTCAACTGGGACCCCGCGACACATGGGCACGGGTGCCTGAGCTCCTAAAGATAATCCCGAAAGAGGTCCTGCCGCAATCTAGTGCCGATTCCGCAGAGCTACTCAACGCCCTGCATGGCGGCATTATTCGCAAGGACGAGCCCAAGTACAATCATGAAGCAGGATTCAAAGCCTACCTCGAAATAGCTGGTCAACTCACCCAGCGGTTGAGTGATCATGAAAGAACTAAGCTCCTCGAAGAGATGGTGTTGCCAATCATCACGCAGTATCTTCGTCCATCGTTGGAGACATCAGACTGGGCTGTGCCATCCAACGCGTCAAGCCTAATATCCAAAGCCCTAGAGATTGAAGGAATGGAGATTGTGCTCGAACAGCGATGGCCTTCCTTGTCACAGCAGTTGATCGATAACATCAAGACTTCAGCCCCAGAGCAGTCAAAAGATTATGAGAAGTCTCAGACGAACGTCATCCAGCACGCCACGCGATATGCGACCATGCAAGACCAAGCGCTTGCCATCAAGACTTTGGAGTCGTTGCGATCAGTCATTTCCCAGGCGTGCTCTTCAATAGTAGCAGAAGCTCTCGAAGTACTCAAAAACAGAAATGGGAAACCGTACGGCGCAGCAGGTACGATTGCAGCCGTACTAAAGCGTAACCCAAGTTTTATATCGTCTACCAAGGCCGAGCAAGACCTAGAGCTGTTTATACAGCAAGATCTTCCAGAGCTGGTGTTGTCTCCCTCATCCTCCTATCTGATCGATATACTATACACCAAGTCAGACCGCGCGTACTTCAAGGACGCATGGAGCGCGTCTCTCAAGACTGTTCTTAGAGATGCAGACTCTCCAGCAAAGACAAAAGCTCTCGAAGCAATCATCACCTCATCGAGAATACCAACGTCCTTTGACCTTGCCACATCGGATCCTGAACTACAGAAGTACATAACCACGAATGTACGCGAGGCTGTTGAGGGCTCAGCCGAATGGGATTCGTTCAGTCGCATGCTTCAATCACCAGCAAGGATACTTGCTCCCGAAACAGCTGATGAAATCCTTGCTTACATGACGGAAACGCTATCAATATCAAACCAGGCTCCCTACTCATTGCAAGGTCTACGCCAAATCGTCAAATCGAATCCAACAATGCTACGAGAGTTTGTCGCTAGTTCACAGGGCGCTGGTCTTCTTCAAGGCCTACTTCTCGCTTCAGAATCCCCAGATGATGAGGTCGCGCAGGGCGCTAAAACTGTTAATGCCTCGATCCAGACCATACTGTCATCTGGCTCTGACTCTAAGCAATCGATATACAATCTCGTTCAACAAGGCCTGCGCGAGGCTACCCCGTCATCTGTCTCAGTCGAAACTTTGGTCGACTTGGCGAAGCAGTCAGTCAAGGCCGGTAGTGATTGGGAAGGGATTTCCCTCGTGTTTCCCAGTATCGAAGACTGGAATGCAGCTCTTGATCCGTTTCTCAATGCTGCGCCAAAGTCGTCTTTGGCTATCACGAATCCACTTGGGGGCGCCGTGTATCTTGTCAAAGATGGCCAATTGCCTTCTAAGATCAGAACTATGTCTCGCGATGCTGACGGCTACTCTGCTGCATACCGTATCACACAGTATGTGACGAGGCTTTTCAAAAGCCCAGACCTTTTCTCTGTTGATAAGATTCCTTCTGCGCTTCGAGCTGCCTACCTTCGTAACATTGCGGTTTCCGTGCAGCTTGCAGATGACAACCTTGGACTTGCCGGCGCGAATGGCTTCTGGGCACAATACAACTCGGACGTTGAAGCTGAGGCGATGACCTTCATGTCGGATGCGCAACCATTCGTGACACACGAGCTAAAGAACCTTGTCGATACGTGGTCGAAGGACGACGACAACGCCCCGCTGTTGTCTTGGGCAACCTCACTCTTATCGGAGATAGATGTCGGCGCAACTTCTCCAGCTTACTATCATGCCCGAGCATATGCTGTCTTGATAGCCGACGCTATTGAGATTACTGGCTGGAAAAATTCACAAACCGCCCAACTTCAGGAGACGCTGAAGTCCACGCGAAGTTCGAAAAACATCCTCCAGCTCCTTGCGTTCTTGAACGCTTTCAGAGAGCCCTTGTCGTATGCAAAAGCTTGCGAGAGAATGTGCAATGAGATCGTCGCCGATCTGACAGGCCTTGATGTCCAGCATAAGTCGCAGGAGGCACTGCAACAACTCGTGCTGTTGAACAGTGTCATGGGTCAGGAAGGTATCTTGGAGAGCATCGCTGGTCCTCGTCTGATGCGCTTTATCCAGCATGTCATCCCGTGGCTACAGGAAGATACCGTCAATCGTTCTACCAAAGCAGAGTTGTGCCGCGCGTTGTCTGTACTGGTTCCCCTGATCGGCGAAATGTACGGTGAGCACTGGGTCGGTATCTTGAGTGCGCTTTCGACGATTTGGTTAGCTACAAAAGAGCTGGAAGCGAACGAGTCCGGCGTGGACACTCCAATTCCCCTCGTACACGCATCGTTGAAGCTATATGCACAACTGCGGAGCTTGACCCAAGCCGAAGAACCAAACGACGATCTTCTCGATGCATGGAAAGAGAACGAGCAAGCTGTTGCTGATGGGCTCATCAACATCCTGAAGCATTCGCAACATTTCCCAGACGAATTTCATCAGCCACTGAAGATGGTCAACGATGTTTTAGCGCGTCAGATCTCCAAGGTGTCGCTCAAGCATCTGGAGTCCACCGAGGAACTTTTCCCTCTTCTTTACGTAGAGTCTCAACCGGTCCAACAGACTGCTTTCGACATCCTACACAAGCAGATCCCTGCATCCCAGGAGCAAGTGTCCATTGACGCAGCATTGGAGAAGACGACTGCCCGATTACCTGAGGAATTGCTGTCATTGATCATCGATGCGCCCACGGTCACTGCACTTGCCGATGCCAACTTTGAGCGTAGTGTGCCCTTGCCATTGAGAGGTTATCTATTGAGCTGGCTGCTAGTCTTCGATCACCTAGAGCATGCTTCCTTCAAGGTCAAGAATGATTACGTTGAGCATATCCGAGAGGGTGAGTACCTCCCTGGCCTTCTCGACTTCATGTTCGACTTCCTTGGCCATGCCCACAACAAGCCAGTCGATGTCTCCAAGCTTGACATCACGACGTATGAAGCGGATCTTGAACCACCCAAGCGTGATTTGCAATGGTTGTTAACACACTTATACTTCTTGTGTCTGCGCGACGTCCCTTCTTTAACGAAGACCTGGTTCAAGAGCTGCAAATCACGCGCCATAGTCGTTGCGCTCGAGCCGTGGACGGAGAAATACGTTTCGCAGCCTGTGATCGTTGCCGCCCTCGAAGCAGTCAACACATGGTCGGAAGAGCAAGCCGCGGCTGAGCCCGACTCGGCGTTTGCGGTAAAAGTTGTCAACCGCGCGCGCGAGATTACTGCATCATATGTGGTCGATGAACAAACCATGGCGATGCGAATCTCTCTGCCACCCGCCTTTCCTCTCGCAAATGCTCACATAGAAGGCCTGAACCGCGTTGCTGTTAATGAACAGAAATGGCAGTCTTGGTTGCGGACATCGCTGGGAGCTATTACAATTTTCAACGGCAGCCTGATCGACGCGCTGACCACGTTCAAGAGGAACGTCGATGGAGCGCTCAAGGGCCAGAGCGAGTGTGCCATCTGCTACAGTATAGTTGGGTCGGATCGCAAGTTGCCTGACAAGAAGTGTCACACTTGCAAGAATCTCTTCCACGGAGTCTGTCTGTTCAAGTGGTTCAAGAGTAGCGATAGCTCGAGCTGTCCGCTCTGCAGAACCAGCTTCAATTATGCATAGATTAGAAGGATGGACTGGGCACGGTAGAATTCAGTGGCTGTTATAGAAAATAGATACTGTAGACGATGAACTCATGTTGTTGACTTGCGTAGGTGTGAGTGTTCTTGTCAATCGCATGGACCTCGGCTGTACCTGCATTTACCCCACACCTACGCTAAAGTATACCGAGATGAATACTTGCTAGTCATTCACGCTTACACATAGCTTTTCTCCGTTGAAGTACCCATTCTGACCGTCACTTCTATACTTCATGATACGAACTCAACGTCTTCTACTATACAATTCTCACCGACCATGTCGTCAACCAATCCTCAGCCGATCCTAGAGTTCAACTACGACATATCCTGTCCCTTCGCCTACATAGCCTCAACACGCGTACAGTCACTAGCACATCGCACTCATGCTACCCTGATCTACAAACCCGTTCTCCTAGGCGCAATTTACCGCGCAACAGCCGCACCCCAAGGCGCCGGCGGCTCAGCATCTGATGTCTTCAACTCAGCCAAGAAAGCCGTTACAGCGCAAGGCATGCAACGTACATTGCGCAGATACAACATTCGGTACAACCCGCCACCTCAGCATCCTCGTAAGACAGTGAATGCACTACGTTTATTGTACTGTGTAAAAGACCATGAGAAGAGGAGGATGTTGACAGACAGGTTGTTCCAAGCTTATTGGGCAGAAGGCAAGGACGTGAATTCCAATGCTACCATCCTGCAGATTGCGAGGGAATGCGGTATTGAAGATGTGGGTGAGGAATCTTTCGCAAACGCCGATGCGAGGAAGGACCTAGAGACTGCTACTGCTGAAGCAATCGAAAGAGGTGCTTTTGGTGTCCCTGGATTCTGGGTGCCGGATGCTCTATGGACGAACGCGAATGGTGAAGAAAAGCGAGGGCGGTTTTACTGGGGTCAGGATCGCATGCATTTCGTTGAGGCGACCTTACTCTCCCTTCCATCATCATCACGGTCGCCATCTGGAAACCCGTGGACACATGTACCGGCACTCAAGAGCTTGATGCCGCGGTGCGTACCCAGTAATGATCCTCATGGCCGAGTAAAAGTCGAATTCTGGTTCGACTTTAGCAGTCCGTGGGCGTTTTTGGGGTACACACAGTTGGAACGATTAAAGAAGACATTTGGCAAGGACTTGGAAATTGTCATGAAGCCATTTCTCCTGGGCATCTTGTTCCGAGAGATCGGTGCGCCAAATCTGCCAATGGCGGCGGTTAGTCCGGCGAAGGCGCTGTGGTCGAGACAAGACCATGCGGACTGGACCGAGTACTGGAACGCGATAAGTCGGCAAGATGGTGGAAGAGAAGTCAAGTTCTATTGGGCAGACATCTTCCCCATCCGGACACCGACTGTGTTGAGAGTTGCGCTTGTGGAACCGGAGACCACAAACCTGTTGTGTAAGTCGCACATTTTGTTTCGCTTGCCGAGCCGCAGCATGAATCACGAAGTAAACTGACGAAGTATAGTCGAAGCATGCTGGTCTCACAACCAAGACATGTCCAACGACACCGTGCTCCGTACCGTTCTCGACCAAGGTGGTTTCAATGGCGCTGATCTTATTGCTCGCGCGAACGAACCCGCAGTCAAAGCCAAGCTGCGGGCCGCTACCGCAGAGGCAAAAGAAATGGGTCTCTGTGGCGTACCCACGTATCGTGTGCTGAGGCAGGGGGATAAAGGGGAGTGGGAGGCGGTTGGTGGTCTGGTCTGGGGTCAAGACGAAATCAACGTTGTCGAAGACCTAATTGCTGGATGGAATCCTGAAAGTTCAGGACAAGCGGCTAGGGTGGTGAGGAAAGAGAATGGCGCGGGTTCGAAATTGTGAGTACGGTTATTCCCAACCCACAACAAGACGCGATGACTTGGTCGAATCTACAACTGTGTTCAAAAGTGGTGAAGATCAAATTATCGTACTATTGTATCATGATTCGTAAGTTAGATACATGGAGAATTCGTCGCACAAAAATAAGCCATTACGCCAGAACCATGCGCCTTCCCTGGGTATCGAAATATAAAAAGAGTGTTAGTCGTACGTTGAGTAAATGTTCGTATCTCGTGTAGAGGTGTAGGGTATATGTCGTAAAGGTGCCTAGAAAGTATGCGTGCCACGTGAACCTTGTAGAGAAGTGTCCACGATATCAAGCCGTCAGGTCAACATCACCATAGGCACGGCGTTTCCTTCTCTTAGCTGCAAGCTGGGGTGTCCAGATGCCGCTGAATAGATCCTCACATTCGTCTTCATCCTGAGAATCGAACTCAATGTCTTGGTCGTTCTTGTCTGGTACCATGCCGTTGTCTTCTTCATTCATACTCTCATCCCACTCTGCACCCTTGGCGATCCTCTTGGTTTCGAGTATGAACTTGCCGACCTTGTATTTCTGGCTGTCCTCGGCTGCATCGACATACTTCCATCCCAACACACTACCACAGCTACGGCAGCTGATGTCAGATACAGTATGGGCGCCCGTCACGAGTTGACGAGCATGAGCCTTGTGTGTCAATGTGTTTGGCAAATCACCTTCCTTCCATCCTGTCGCCGACATATCCCCACCAGCCAAAAAGCTCGATGTCGATGGCGGCCCTACAAGGTATGCGCGGCCGTGACGTCCAGTGAACCCTTTGCTTATGATGGATGATGCAGGGATGAGGTCGGCAAGACACTTCTGGCAGCGTAGGTGCGAGGTTGGTCGCGCCGTGAGGAAGGAGGTTGGTTGTGGTGGAGATGAAGACGGAGACGTAGAGGCGGTCGAGGTGCTGATGGCCGAGCTTCGGCGTCGGCGGAAGGGCAGGCTAGGGAAGAGGTAGAGAGGAAAAGGTGTCGTTGGTGAATTCGGCATATTGTACTAGAAGGCCGGTTATCGGAAGAGCGAAAGTCAGTGAGGTTATGTCCAAATTATAGAATAGTGTATCGTGATGTGTGTACGGCCTCACGCTGGCGGAGGTGGTGGCCCAGTATAAGTCCGGCAATACCAGACCAGGTCAAGCGCTATAGGAAAAGGGCCCTATCAGGAAGCGATACAGTGTTGCGTCGACGCAATAGCGCTGCAAACTGCCGACTATGCTTTTGTAGTCCGGTGTTGATCACGACTGGACAGCGGTTCAGTTCGTGATGCCTGAGGATCTTGCGGTGTATTGACCTGGGGCGAACAGAAAACGTGACGACGCGTCTTGCCGATGACTGAAATTCGGTCGCTTAATCTCTGAACCCAGGGTGGGAAAGACGCTCACAAAGGAGGTCTGTCCTCCCTTTGAGGCGTGTCGACGCGAAGGAGCAGATGACGCGCTGAAGACGTGGGAATATCGCGATAAGCGATAAGACGGGCGCCACAGCCGAGGAGGCGGGGAGGTGGGGCAGAACAGACGATGCACCTCAAGTTCTCGACATCGACAGAGGATTCACGCCAGAATGCCTTCAGGTTCTGAAGAACAGTGTTTGATGAAGGACAGAGGCTGGATTCGAGAGAGATGGAGTGATAATAGCGGTCAGTACCTGGTTCTTGCTACCAGCTGCGTGCTGGCCAATCTTGATGACTGGTCAGATCATGCGACCTCTCAAACCCGGGCGTGTCGTCACGAGATGTGCTGGCACTTTCCGATTGTGCCCGGGCAGTACAAACGATGCAACTGGGCCGCACCAGTAGATGACGACTGAACTTACATGCGTAGCCTTGCTGTAGTATATGCAAGCGCCAAGCACCATGCCGTAGTGTCCGGAATAGGGTTAGTCCCTGGAGATTGCTCCTTTCCCAGGTGGAAGCATTGTTTGCGACGCGTTGATCATCGCGACACTGTATCTCTCATGCTTAACGAAGCATGAATGATCAACGAATCTGAGGAAGTTTCGCCTCGCAAGTTACACCGCGCCATCACCACCAGACAATAAGCTTCAACACGATGAGATCGTCTTCTGCCAGCGCACCACTCACAGCACAGTATGCTTGTGATATCTGTAGGCAAGTCCCCAGCTCATGGTCGAGCTGGCTTTGTCCTGCTTCGACCGTGATCAACAGCACGGCATTCCAGGTTTCTGGGGCGGCTATTGCACACTAGTCAAGAAGGCAGAAGACCTTTCTGTCATTCTTAAACATCATCTTAACGCCACATCCATTCGCGAAGACCCAATAGCTTTTAGCCTTTACATGAACTTGCGCGCTACCGAGATCTTCTTACGCGATATGGCCATCACGAAAAGCGAAGAGCAAGGACTTCCACCATATATGATAATCGAGAATCAACGCCGCGCTACTGCTGCTGCATTCCAGATGTGTAACGCAGTAGGCCTCAATTTGCCGTCACCACGGAAGGCAAACAGCGACATTATCATGCTGCAAGCGATATTCATTGCTTGGCCCTTATTCATGGCATTGAAAGCGTTACGTCATGAACTCAGAGATGGAGAGGTTCAGGAAACTACAAACGGCGTCGTGGCCGCGTCCAAATTGCTCTTCGCCGCTCTAGATCATATTGAGGAATCGGACGGACACTGGCACCAATCGTTGACCCATGTTGGTACAAAGCTGCAGGAATGGGAAGAGAAGACTGAGTTCAACTCATCGGCTCTGCGATTGTCCCTGCAACCATGAGTTTTGCTGTTGTCACTTGGTTGTAGGATTTTGGAAATCATCGAATAGCATCTCGCCAAGGCCATACACGTCGACCAGTTACCGCAAGGGTAAGACCACTGGGCTCTATTCGTCAAGAGCAATCTAAAAGAATGGACTCATCTTTACTATAGTACATATGCGTCTCCGTCGTTCTGCAGCAACGTTGCAGGGGGGAGTGAGTCTGCCGGCCTCCGTGTCCGTCCCCATGTCCGTCTTACCTCTGAACCGCCCCTTCGATGATATAATACTGCTTTAACCACGAAATCCCATCATAAGTATTTTGGTTTCTTTTTGATCTTACGAAAGGTTTACCAAATCAATTATCAATTGACCGACGACCGCGAAAGCCGTACCTAATTGAGAACCAGTTGAACTAGCCGAACATGGATGGATCAAACATCACGGAGCATGTAGAAGCAGCGCCAAAGGAGATTCAGACCACACTAAATGAACGCCTTGAATGCGACGACGGCGTCAATACGGCCCAAAAGCGTAGCGCTCGCCACATCCATGGCTGGAAGGTAAACAACCCACGGCAATGCTCACACGCATAGATCTTAGTATCAGATTGCGATTATGCTAATCTTTCACATGTATTACAATGTAGTGGGCCACCGCTTACATTTCTATGCTATCTACCACGCTTCTCTTCGCTCTTGACAACACCATTGTCGCCAACATCCAACCAGCCATCATCAATGACTTTGGGCATCTCGAGTTACTTGCATGGATTGGAACCGGCTTCGCACTCGGCACCATGTTCATTCTCCTTTGGGGAAAGGTCTACGGTATTTTCAACATCAAGTGGGTTTACGTCTTCAACATCTTCTTGTTCGAGGCTGGCAGTGCTCTTTGCGGTGCCGCTCCGAACATCGAGGCACTCATCATTGGCCGTGTGATTGCTGGCGTCGGTGGCTCAGGGATGTACTCAGGCACTCTGACTTATGTTTCTGTTCTCTGTAACAGTCAGGAGAAGCCAGCATATCTTACCGGTAGCACCGTGGTTTGGGGTATCGGCAGCGTCCTCGGTCCAGTGGTCGGCGGCGCCTTTACGATGATCAGTGCCACCTGGAGATGGGTATGTATCTCTTCTATATCCTCCTTTGACATCTGAACTTTGATATTGAACGAATAGTAGGGGTTTCATATCAATCTTCCCATCGGCGCCATCTTTGCGCCTGTCTACCTCCCACTCTTCCCCAGCATCGATACTCATCCATGCAAGACGCTCGCGGACAAACTTCGTCTGATCGACTGGATCAACGCTCTTATCTTCCTTTCTGGCTCCACCTGCCTGACAATCACGCTGACCTTTGGTGGAGTCATCTACTCGTTCGTTTCTGGCACTGTAGTCGCGCTATGGACTATTACAGGTGTTCTTTTGATCACCTTCATCGTCAAACCCGGATTTTAGACGTCAGTGACCTTGCGTCACTTCTGTGTAGTGAACTGAACCACGTCTTCACCCATTGGTCTTCGTTTTCAACTTCGAACTCGAATGCTATATGGATACTAAACCTTACACAATCTTATGCGACTCTGTCATCGATCGGATTCCTGACATGGCTTCTATGAGCAATAAACACATTGGTCTTCTTCCAAGTCGTCGCATGGGCAAGGAAACCAACATTGTGTAACATCTTCCACACGGTTACCAAACATATCCAATCAATTCCACAGGGTCGTTTGCCTAATGATGAACGACGTGTATGTGTCGTGCAGCAACGAGTATGAGAATTTGCTGTGTGATATTGATAGGCGTCGACAAAGTTGGATGAAGAGATTTTATGCTGAGCACAGGCGAACAGGAGAAAGAAAGTGAGGATTATTTGTATTCAGGAGAGAAGATTAGGTTACAAGGACTACGTATGTGACGGACGCTCATGTTTGCCTTTGCAACGTTGAACCTCGAACTGTCATAAACGTGTATCTGGAAGGGCTTTGCGATAACACACCCATCTATTTCAAACGACTGCGCAAGGCAAAACGGCGATACGATCACAATTACTGGAGCTAGTTAAGACGCAAATCTACTAGGTGGCAATCACGCTCTCGACTTGGAGATGCAATTCTAAGACTAAACCTACAACAAAAACTGGAAAGCGATGATTTGGCCCTTTCCATGATCATAACTAAGCGAACGACATGATCATAGCAGGTTTATGTACAAGTGGCGACTGATAGTGTTATGGAACACGGACGACGGAGAGGCACTAGCAGCGGCTACGGGTCGCCATCAGATGTATCATCAGGCTCATGCGGGCTGCGCAAAGGTGCTACCGATGGGTCCGAACTTGATGTTTGAGAAGACCACCTGCGCGTTGGGGCTGGCGCTCTCGACATCGGCTGGCACGCCACTGGTGATGGCGCACTCGCCTCGAGCAATACCAGGCTTCTCCGGATCCTGGTCTGTCGGGTAGTTACTGTCCAGCCAGAGCATGTTGGCGTAGTGATCGTCCCAGAGACTCATTACGAGTACCATACCCAAATTCATACCCCTACCCATGGATGCCATGCCACCGAACTCGTTGAAGGGGTAGATCTCCTCTTGGAAAACTTCCTTTTGCGTGTTGCACCATTCCTGGGTGATGGAATTGCCTTTCTAGTAGACTGTCAGAGGCTGTTTCGCGAAACCTTGGAAGATGATTACATACCATGCCAGGAATTGTTGGTTCGGGGTTGCTAATGACCTTGCCGTTCTGCACATAGAAACGCTTGATCTCAGTGAGTTGACCGGAACCCAAGAACTGCGTGACCACTGTCATCTTCTTCGACGTGTCCACCCCGGATTTGCCCTTGCCATAGAAGTCTTTCACACCGACACGGTATGGATTGAAGTCACAACCATTCGCATCGCAGGTGCCAGCATAGCGGTCGAGCGAGTACGTACCACCACATTCATCGTCTGTACAGACATTGTAGCCCTCGGGTTGGCAAGAATGGGGGGTCAAAGCCGTGGAAATGGAGTTCGCCTCCCAGATATCCATCTCGGTGCTGAGCTGCGTCAGATTGGGTACTGTCTAAGTAGGCAATTCCACTTACCAGCATGCGCCCTTCTTACCAATGCCGGCATTAGGATCAGATTGGGATGCTTGCCAACCTTCTGCGTTGGCTTGACCATCGATGTACTTCAGGTCTCGAGCACATTGAGCGTCGCAGTATCCTGAAGTAGATTAGACTCTAGTCCATAAGAGTACGAACAAAAGTCCTACCAGTTCCGTACTTCGCGCCCGGAGTTCCATGACCCTTCTGTGGCATGGATACGAAGTACAAGGCTCCGTTGAGGCCGCATGGCAGCTGCGAGAGATCCACGTCGAAGGTGAACTCATTCCCGATAAGGTTGAACATCTATGTTGCAGAGAGATCAGATCATTACTTCGTCGCCATTATGCTTGAGGAGGTTTCTCACCTCGTAATTGTTTGCATCCTTCATGAGATAAGTGCGCGATCCAATGTTGGTGGAGTACTGGCCCTTGGTGATGAACTTGAGAGTAAGAGAGTTACCCGAAGTCGTGATGCCATATGTACCACGGTAATCCGAACCCTCGATGGCACAGTTCTTTGTACAGGCTGCGTTGTCTGGACAAGCGGTGGTGTTCCACTCGTTTCCATCGAAGCAGTTGGTGTATCCATTCACAGAATGGAGCCATCGCCAGTTGGCGTCGATGACAATTTCTCCATTGACGTTGGTACAGCTACTACCGCCTTTGCCTGTGCAGCGCTGCCAGGTCATCTTCGGATGGGTCTCTGTCTGCTCTTTGCCGATGACCCAGCTAGATGCGCGATTGGCGCAAAAAGCCAGAATTACCGCCACAGCAGAAGTTGACAACATGATTGGGAAGAAAGATTTGAAGCACAATAGACGATTCGGGGTGTTATATCATGCCTGAATGATGCGATGCAGTCAACTTATACGACAAGTGCACAGCATCAACCCTATCCATCCTCGAGTGCCCAAGAACAGATCGCATATTGCCCAGTCTTCAGATGGCCAAAGATGAGCCCATTCGATATGAAGAGCTGATCATGCGATACTCTTTCAACGGAACGATAGAGTCTTCATCCGCCTTGGGTGCTAGAAGGTCATCAACGACCAGTCAAGCAGTCTCGTCGTCGCGTAGCCGGATTTCGAGAAAGCTGCTCAAATGACTTCCGTCTCGGCGATGTGCGATTCGTGTGGTCGTTGCAGTGAAGCCAAGATACCGTCCTTTTGTATATGGGGTCCACAGCCGTGGCGCTAGAAGCTGGGTGCGGGGTTAGCGTGCGATAGACGAATCAAAGGTAGTGTCTCATTGTATCAAGAGCGGAATGATAGCTTAGCATTCTTGGTGTCTTCCCCGGATTATTTGTAGTCTTGGATCTTGCTCAGGGTAATTTAAAGGCAGAAAATGGGCAGGGTATATCGCGCGCGCTGCGATGTGTGGAATGCGGGGTTGTAGATGAATTGTGACTATTGTAATTCATTCCACTGGTCTCATTGGCGGGTCAAATACCTACTCGTTGGCATTCAGATCATGCCCTGCTTTAGTATCTGGGCGGCTTTAGTATGGGATCCAGCCTGGAATCTTGTTCCTCAATAATTCCACGATGCAATCCGGAGCCCAACGAAGTGCCGCGATCTCATACGGGGAAAGACCTAAAGTGCCGAGAGCTTGGACTCCAGTCTTCGATATGACAGCTAATATGATGACCAACCATAAAGCCGTGTGATCGCAGACATCTCGTCGTATTCGTAACTCAGAACGACAGGCTATGCAATAACTTCCGAGCATGGAAGTGTGCTACCGTCTGTCCTCACAATGTCGTTGCTGTCGTGCACCAAGACAGGATGGCACTAAGCGGTACACGTAGGTCGACTGTGATCATGGCCAGAGATTTGACAAATCACAATCGCTCCTTGTATTTTGAGCTGGAGTCGCGATGTGTATGCGCTGCGCCGATTCGTGAAAGGACGTATGGAGGGTTCGTACTGAGATGGTTCATCGCAGAGTGGGTTACGGCGCATTCCACATGTGAGAGAGATCTGCAATAGAGGTAAGCTGGAAGCTACGAGACTGTTACGACATTCAGATGTGTTGCATTGTCGAACCTCAACTTAGGTCGTCGTCGCGTTGTGTAGAACCGGTGGCCCGTCGCGTCGCGGGAGATAGGCCTTCGCCCGCCTTGGCGCGACGCGTGGCGTCATCGTTCTCTTCACCCCCTCTCCCCGCCACAGAATCTCAATCGTGACCCATCCATCTCGTGCCCATGGCCGGTGTTAGTCATTCATATCCTCGAAGGTTGATACACGAATGTATAAAGGTAAGCGCTTGATGCACCTAGTACAGCCGGTCACACATGAGCAAGTCCACGGATGTCGGAGAATTACTCAACAATCTTCATTCGTCGCCAAACACTCTCAGCAGCACACCAGCTATAGCGCTCATGTTTGTTGTCGGAGTTGAATGTCACGACCATCCGACGGCTTCGATAAATCAATAGACATCGCTCCTGAGAGATATCCTCTAATCATAGGCTATGAGAGTGTCTTGCCCGTGTCCGGGCATGAAGCCTGATCTCGGACGTATCGGAGCGAGATCTGCTGCAACCCCAGCTGCTTAGATGTCTGCGTATTAGTATTAACTCGAGTGGGGCAGCTGCAATTTCCTTGCGATACCTTCACCTTTGAATCAAGCCCCCCATGTCACCACTGTTCTCCACATATATGGTCGCATCTTGAAGACTGCGCCCTGTCTCCATCCTTCTACCTTTCCTCCATGCCGATCGTGGCGACCAACACTTCCTGGTCGTCTCACGTTTCCATAGTGGCAATCATTATTGGCTACCGAGTCAAGCTGATCTAACCCAATACAGCAGGCACACTATGCATTGCGCCCCTAAAGACGGTTTTGCGGACTTTTCCTCGAAACATAGACAATTCCGAAGAGCTATGGCGACCGCGTACTGCACATTTCCAGGGATTAGCCGGAAGTCTGGGTACAATCCTGTACATGGAGACGGGTCAGGATATAAGACGCCCTCCATGGCCATGTTTATGATGGTAGGCCGCTTTCATCAATCTCAGCGACATCTCCTGTAGGATGAAGACCCTCACTAGATGCCTCACATGGGCAGGTGTGATAATTCCTTTCGTCGCAGCCCAGAGCGCGAATGTCACGCTCGTCCCAGCAGCTACCGGTTTCGAGAACGATAACACCGACTTCATCTACGGAAAATCGCCTCTACTGGTTGCCAACGATGGAAGTGCTGCCGAAGGTGGCTTCCGGACATTCTCAGTCTCCAATACCTCGAGCTTTACTGAGAAATCGCACCAAAAGACTGGCCGCTCGAAGATCGCCGTAGCTGTCCAAGACGTTGGTGGCCGGGACTTGATCGTCAACATCCCGGCACCCGATTCGTTAATCAGGATCTTCGATGCTAAGAACGGAACGGAAGTCAAAAGCAACGATAAGAAGCAGCTGGGGGATTGGAGCACCGCGTGTGTATGGCGTAGCCAGAAGAGTGGGGAGAGCTACATCTTCTTGTTTGGAAAGAAGATGGTTGTACAGTTTTTGATTCGCAGTAGCAAAGCGCAGGTTGAGATTCTGGAGGTTTGACTGCTCTTTCGGCTTGTCAAAAGATGAGTACTGACGAAGCCATAGGTTCAGACATTCCCTGTTGCTATTGAAGGCGAGACTTGCGCCGCGTTTACGGATGGCCAGATCTACTTTTCGGCTGAGGACAGACCTTTGTACTCGTTTCAAGCATCCGAAACTACCCAGGCACCCGAAATCAAGACTGTGGTTGAGGATATTGAAGTAGCAGGACTTGCTGCCTACCATAGTGCGTCGGCTGACTATCTGTTCGTAGCTCACGACGATGTCATCGATGTGTACGATTCCGATGTCAAGCAGAAAGGAAGTATTGCATTAGGCGGTATTCCTGAACTCGCTATTAAAGGTTCGCTTGCTATACTCCAATCTTCTATGGCTGGTTATCCATCTGGCGCGTTCGCATTTGCTTTCGAGGGAGAAGATGACACTGGTGTGGCTGTAGGCTCCCTGGACGGGGCGCTCGCTGCCCTGAGCATTAAGCCAAACACCCAATATACTCCCGCGAACAAGGCTTGCAAGAAGTGCGAAAGCCCTATCTCCAAGACGTGTTCTAGCAACGGCTTTGCATCTGGAAAAAGCTGTTCTTGTTTTGCCGGCTTTGCTGGCGACGACTGCTCCAGGTCCACCTGCGAAAACGATTGTTCAGGCCATGGCAGTTGTGTCGGCCCAAATGTCTGCAAATGCAAAGGCGCTTGGACTGGTCCAGACTGCTCTTTCGTTGCAGTTAAAGCAAAATACGAGACTGAGGCCAACGGCGGAGACGGCGATGATCCCGCAATCTGGATACATCCGACTAGGCCCGACCAAAGCAAGATCATTACAACGACCAAGTCTGCAGAGGGCGAGGGTTTCGGTCTCTTCGATCTACAGGGAAAGCTTCTTCAACACTTGACTGCTCAGAAGCCAAACAACGTCGATGTCATCTACAACTTCACTCTTGGTACCCGGAAGATCGACCTCGCGTTCGCGGCGTGTCGCGGTGACAACACTATGTGGTGAGTAGCGTCGTAGAAGTTTTCAAATATTTGCTAACGCGCCGTTAAGTCTCGTTGAAGTTAACAGCACGGGGTACCTTAGCGACATCCCTGGCGGTGTCCAAACGCTGCCAGATGACTATGAGCCCTACGGCTCCTGCAACTACCGTTCTCCGACTTCTGGCAAAGAGTACCTCTTCGTCAACAACAAGGAGGCTCAATATCTTCAGTACGAACTCAGTGCCACCGCTAACGGCACCTTGCAAACCACCCTTGTCCGTCAGTTCCAGGGTGGCTCAGGCGGCCAAGTCGAAGGCTGCGTAGCTGACGAAGGCGCTGGCTATCTCTTCATCGGCGAAGAACCACTTGGCATTTGGCGCTATGAAGCAGAACCTACTGGCTCCAACACAGGTGTTCAAATTGCCCAGATAGGCGACGCGAGCGGACTTCACGCAGACGTTGAGGGCATTACCCTTGTGCCAGCCAAGTCGGGTCCAGATGGCTACATCATCGTGTCCTCGCAGGGTATCTCAGCGTATCTGATCTATGAGCGCGCACCACCTCACAAGTACGTCGAGACCTTCACCATCGTCGACAACAAAGGGAAGGGTATCGACCACGTTAGCAACACAGATGGATGTACTGCTGTCGGTAACGCGCTGAACAAAGATTTCCCGAATGGACTGTTCGTCACGCATGACGATGCTAATGAACTGGCCGAAGGAGGTACAGCGGCAGAAGCGAGTTTCAAGTTGGTCAGTCTTGTTGATATCTTGGGAAAGGAAAGGGCAGCGAAGCTGGGGTATTAGAGGCGGACAGTCTTCTCAACTATACCATACAGACATTTGCTTGGCTATCCATTCTATAACACTTCAGAGTACAGCCTTCGAGACATGATGGCTGATGCAAAGATCGCCGTCAGCCGATTCTATAGGTCAACAGTGCCGCCATCTTAATAGTTACCACATCCACTCCTTCACCATAATGCATGACCCTGTTGGTTCAACACGGTTACGCATCCCGCTCACCCAAGTCTCCAGACTGTTCAAGAGTCGATAAGCCGCCCAACCGAGCCTCAAGACACTCCATCTCGGCCTGGACTTCCTCTTCTTCTTTCTTCTTTCGTTCACGCTCCCTCTCAGCCTCCTCGTCCCTCATCTGCAATTCGCCCAACCACTGTAGTCGTCGCGCGCGATCCTTGTAGGTAGCGTCCAAGGCCTCATCATCAAAGTGCTGGTACGGCATTTGTGCTGCATTGTTGGTCAGTATAAGGACAGAAAAAGTGAACTATGTTACTTACCACGATGCCGCTTCTGGTAGTGATTACCAAGCGAAAACTCGTACTCCCAAGGATCAAAATGTAGATTCGGCCAGAATTCGGTAACTGGACTGCGGTGCCTGGTTACACTGTGTGACTCATCACCAAACTCCCACTCCGTGTTGTCGCCATACATCTTCGCTACGATGGTTATGTTGCCGCGTCCGCACGTGTCCGCATAGCCACGTAGCTGCGCGAGTTCAGTATCGCGGATCAAACTAGCCATGCCTTCTTCATCTGATGTGCTTCCATAGCTAGTTTCTGCACCAGCTTGGCCGGTCGGGACATAATAACGAATCTGCCAGTTTGTCATGGTGTCTTTGGCGAGCAGGTCAACGAGGTCTCGCATAGCAGCGATAGGTACGCAAGGATGTTCGACACTTATCTTCGGCCACAACGAGAATAGATGGTCCAAGTGCACTGTTGCATGTCGCTTTCCCAGCCCATGTTTGATGTATAGGTCCCATGACTGCGGTATGTATTGCTTGATGGCTTGGTGAAGGGTGTCGAGCAAGGTGGAAGGGTTGTACTCCTCTCCATTGGAGTCGTGTAGAACTTTTACGCGGTATCGGCGTGCTCCAGGACCATATTGCAGTGTATTTACCTGCAAATCCATCTGTGCCGATAGATCGATATGCAGGTGAAAGTGGACGTTCATGAAGTCCATCACTGACGCTGCGATGGTGTCTGTGGTCTCTTTGCTCAAGCCGTAGTCTTCCTTCAGCACGCCTCCGTAGTTAAACTGCATTCCAGCCATAACGGGAACATACGCCACTTGCTTCTCGACGATGCAGCTCCGCGCCTCCTGGTAGACTTGCGAGCATGTTTGTAGAAGAGTGACGAAAAGGTCAGGCTTGTTGAGGTGGTACCGGTTTAGAGGCACACGCTGGTATTCTTTGTTGAGGGCGAGGCCGTAGATCTCGTTTCGCAGTTCGCCAGAGAGATCGAAGAATGTCTTGCGACCTGGAACAAGCGGCTTTGCGTCTTTGTGCACGATGGTCAAGCGATAAATTGTGGCTGGAGTGTCAACCGGCATCTCGCTTTTCGGATCTGTCAAGTGCTGTTCCGTAACGAAGACTGCTTTGCTACCTATGATGTCAGCAAGCTATGTGTAGGTTTACATTCACGAGCAAACTTGATCGCAAAAGAGGTTCTGTACGGTGTTTCAATGGTGTAGTGGAATTTGAGCAGAGCTGTAGGTACTGAAGGAAAACTCTGTCGATGAAGTGAACGTCGAGAGGCGAATCATTGCATAGCCGCATGAGACCCAATCTGAATAATGAGGCGCTTCACAGTGAGAAGAGATTCACGCGCTGTAAGACGTGTCATCACGAATCAAGCTACTAATCACCGGCTTATAAAAGCTTTGTTGCTAATAGGTTTATTCTTGCGGTCGCGCCTTTCAGTTCGCGTGGTGATGGTCTAACCCTGGGTGTGACACTTATTAAAGATCGTAATTGAAGAAGTATCAGTGCCGGACGCGAGATATCTCACGCTGGTGTACCCCAGACACGCTTGTGAAATAGGCCACTAGACGTGTCTTGCTGGCTCTACCAAGATGATCAACGCACTTGCTGCTTGGACGCTATATCGCTATCTGTGGGTCGGACATTCATCCGCGAATCTCAACCGCTAGCGCAAGATCTACTAAACAGGAAATGCTTCGAGCCCCGCCAAATTGCTAGCCGATGTGGCTGTTCACTCACAATCACTACAAGCCTTCCAACGTCACCCCCACCACGCCCACCTTTCACTTTCCACATTCACCTCATCCCGCACGTACCCCATGACCGGCAGAACCACGGGTCTCAGCGTGAGCACAGATATCCGGCCCAGCTGTTCTTCCGATCACGTGCTAGCGAAGCGACAGCTCCCTTCTGTCTATATAAACAGCGGATCCTACCTCCCTCCTACACCCTACACACCACTTCTCTAGGCCTTCTTTACATTTCCCGCTTGGAAGAGAGACTCACCAACAGTGGACGCATTGCTGGGTATCGCTTGGATGCGAGTCATCGGACGTCGCGAGGAGGGGCGCGTCTCACGGTGCTTGGTCACCGTGTTCCCATAAGCTTTTTCATTGATGTGTCTGGCTTGCCAGGACATTGAGGAAGGAGATGAGTTGGAGCGAAGTGAAGTGAAACAAAGTTACATAACCTTTTGCGTAGTGTGTCTGAACATGGCTGAATGAGTCGAACACAAGCTCAGTGATGTAACATTCTATTTTGAACCTCTTTCTCCATGTCGTAGACGCTGAAGAAAGACGCGTTACCTAGTAAAATACTTTGTCGCTGTCATTATAATAATCCATGGACCGTGGCTCGTCTGTAAACTCCAGATTATTCCAGAGTTTTAATCGGGCTTCATCACCATCGCTGCCAGCCAAACTCCTTACTATCTCCTCAATTCTCCCCTCGTTGAGTCTTGTATCCCAGGCTTTAGCCGAGTCATATTGCTTACGAAGAAACTCAACGGTAGAATTAGGTGCTCCGGTCCTCTCTTGCCATGCATCTAATTCTGCTGGCACGTGGTCGTATTCGGCGATATAACTTTCATACTTCGCGATCCAGTGGCTTGCGAGGGCCTCGAATGATGCAGGAGGTAGGAGGTGTTTACTGTTTTGGGCGCAGTAGGCGTAAGCGTCGGCACGAGATTGTTGGTATGCCAACTGCAGCCAGTATCGTTCGAGGTTGAGCTGGGAGATACACCTCGAGAGCAGATCTGGATGCAATTCACGCTGCTCACACATTATCGTGGCGTTGGGCTCTAGTTGTGCTTTTGTGTATGTATTCTCCAGTTTCCGGAACTCCCATAGGATCAGGTCTTCTTCTTGAACACATACATCGTTTGAACATAGCCGCTGGATGAGCTGTTTTGCGTCTTCGAAGTCGCTTTCTTGTCGGCCGACCTCGCGTCTAAGACTCCCTCCGTGGAGCATATTTCTCCACAGCGAAGGACCGTCAGTCAAATTTCTGGTTTCGAGATCTTTGAGTTCATCTCCATACTGTCGTAGTTTTCTTTTTCCATAATAAATATTGAATAGATCATCCGGATTGTCCTTGTGGTCCTTGATTTCCCGGAAAGCACCTTCTGCCCAGCCTCGTCCTGATGGCCTGTGCTGCGCCCGAATGAAGTCGGATCTGAACTGATCAACGTCTAATTGATCAGGCCAGCCGTTTTTCAGTAATAGAGCTGATGTGATGTTGCTGGGCAGAACGTTCTGTTGATGTCGGGAGTCCATCGTCTCCGACGTCTCCCACGGTGACCATGCTCTGCTCAGATATGCGTCTCTGATCCTCTTTAGGAACGTTGGCGCATCGGTCCACTCTCTCCAGTCACGGCTGTGCCTATTCACCGACAGTTGCCCTGTTTTGTTTTCGCCTCCAAAGATGGGCATGTCATTTAAATCATGTTCTCGCCCATAACTAACGTATGATAAGTTTGGCGAGAACTCACTATAGCGACGACTATAGGGCCACCACTCCTCGCCCTCGTAGACTCTTATCATATGCTTCCTAGTGTCATATTGCAGTTTCCAAGTCCTGTAGTGATCCCGGTCCTCCCAGCCGCCTTCGGTCAAATGGACCATTCCTGGTCTCATGACATATGCGAAATCGTCCTCTACCCAACTCGCATCACAAGCGACGTTCAAATCACGATCCTTCCGAAAGTCGATGAATGTACCGCCCCAAAGCCAAAATTTGTGCCCAGATAGGCTAGTGTTGACGTATGGGAGGATTTCCATCAAGCGGAAGTCGGCTGCGTCGAGCTTGCACGGACTGGCTGTAGTGTTGATTTGATGAGGACCACGCTCGATGGAGTCATGCGGGATGAAGGATGTTTTGGCTAGGACGGTGTAGATCTCTTCCATCAAGGTAGCGACCTCTTGGAGCTGGTTTTCATCGTAGGTATCAACGGTCTGGATATCGAGGTCATTGTTATGGATTGACGCTAAGCTTGTGGCTGCGAAGGGGTTGTAGATGCAGCGTAAGCCCAGAAGCACGGTCAGTACGACAACAAATACCACTAATGGGTCTCGATATCGTTTTCGCGTGGTAGAGATGCAAAGAGCTTCTGGATGTAGGTTTTCGTGATCCTGTTTAACTATTGGTGAGGACATGGTGATTTGAGGGTTCGGAAAGCGGTTTCAGTGATTCAAGACGACACATGATGAGACGGCGAGCGGATTCTGCCAACATTTTGTACGAGTTTTGAGGACAGCTGTAGAGAAGGTAGATGGCAGGAGGCCTGACGCGGTTTGACACGCTTGCACGTGCGCGCGCCCACATTTTCGACGATGAGTGGGCAGGAACAGGGCAGCCCCGCTAAAGGCAACAGTATTCCAAGCTCGATACGACACCTGTCACCCAATGTTAAACCTGGAAGAAAGGGTCTGGGTCTAAGCAGCTGGCAAATTTGGTAGCAACATGTCTGATGGGGCCTCATTAGGGAAATTGGATCAGTTACCGGCTGAAATGCTCGAGTTCACGCTCCTCAAGACGTCAGGCTCGCTTGCACCACGACTCGGCCGCCTGTCGTTCCCCGGACGCAAGAGCATTCTTACACCCGCCTTCATTGGCAACACGTCACGAGGCGTCATCCCTCATGTGTCGCAAGACAACTTCCGGAGCAGCGCCGATGTTGGTGGGGTATATGTCGCGCTCGAGGACTGTACGTACCTATGCGCATAGCGCACGCCCTCTCTAACCGCTGGCAGTCATTGAGAAGCATCCACACAAGACTCCCCCGATCTTGAAGTATGACGTCCCCGAGCCTCTGCGCAGGTTCATCACCCTCCCCGACGACACGCTCTTGATCCTAGGGGCGCGTCGCAACCCGCCTATCCCGAGCCCCCACTCGAATTCCAACACGGAGATACGCATCTTAACGTCGGTCGGCTTCACAACTGTCAGCTCCGAATACTATGCTGCTGCTGCACGGAAGCTGCAGCCAGACATCGTGGTCGGGCTGGGGGACATACCATGCGGGCAAGAGGCCATCAGTTTGAAGCGGAAAGACAAGATGAGTGACAGGACCGAGGTATGGCTGCGCGACATTGTGGCCAAGCAGGGTACTATTGAGAAGGGAGAGAAGGCATGGAGCATATTCGCGCCCATACTGCCCATCGAACGCGACTTACAATCATGGTATCACGAGCACTTGTTGGATGACATGGTGGACAAGATCAGTGGCCTCGCCATATACGACGCATATCTGCTCGACGAGCTGCCCGATCAGCTTCACCACCTTCCACGGCTATCTTTCCACGTCCCTGCAAGCCCACATGAGCTTCTTCGCCATGTCAGCTTAGGCGTCGACGTCTTCACCGTGCCCTTCCTCGCAGACGCGACCGATGCAGGCATCGTCCTCGACTTCACCTTCCCACCGCCCGCCCGAGATACAAACACAAGCGCGCGCCACTCTCTGGGCATCGACATTTGGAGCAGCGACCATGCCCTGTCTGTCACCCCATTATCCCAAGGCTGCAAATGCTACGCCTGCACCAAGCATCACCGTGCCTTTCTTCAGCATTTGCTCGCTGCCAAGGAGATGCTTGGTTGGGTGCTTATCCAGCTGCACAACCACGCCATACTCTCTGCCTTCTTCGCCGGTATTCGCTCTTCCATCGAAGCCGGCACCTTCGACGTCGACGCCGCTGCTTTTGAAGCCTACTATGAGCCTACCCTCCCCGAGAAGACCGGCCAAGGACCGCGCGTCAGAGGATACCAATTCAAGAGCGAATCGCATGACCCCAACAGGGTGAAGAAGAACCCTAGAGCTTTCAAGAAATACAGCGAGGATGACATCCTGAGGTTAAAGGCAGCTCACGGACAACAACCAAAGGATAAACCTGCAATGCGGGACGTGATTGATGATGAGGCCCTATTAGGCTTGGTGGAGATGGAACAGTCCCCAGTCGACGCAGACCCGGCTGTGCGATTGAACGGCTTGAGATTGGAAGACGATAAGAGAGCCTAGCTCAGGCGGGTATTCCCTTAGATGGCCAAGTACATCGCCCTCCCGTTACAAACGACCTCCCACCTTCCACTTGACATCCCGTCGATTGATCGCATATATGCTCACATTCGCAAGCTTCATACTCCTTTGCCCCGCACGCATCGCCAAGACACTACCACCCTTGGTGTACCTGCGGCCATTGCATTTCGAATTGAATACAATCAGCTGGAACATGTTTCGTATGAGCGTCGTGTGCACTAATGCTGGATTTGGATCGAAAATGTCCACATGCATCCAAACAATTATGTTGTCGTCGCTAGGAACTTCCTCGCCCCAATCTGTCGACATTTGATATATGCCCTTTTCCAGATCGAGTATGACGGTGCCAACGTTTAACCACATGTTATCCATTGAGAGGACTGCTTCGTGGCCCATATTGCAGGTCAATTTGAATGAGATGTTGTCAGCGAAGGTTGTGATCCTGTCGTCGGCCGATGTTTGCTGGTCATGCGTGGCGTTGTCTGGTATCCTGGCATTGAGGGTTGCTTCTGCCTGCTTCGACACGTCTTGGTCGATGTCCTTTTTCGGCTCTCCTAATCTGGCACCGGGAACGGTGTTGAAGAACCATGGTGATTGCAAGGTAATATTGACCTTCTCCGCACCGTCGTGTCCGTCGGAAACTTCCGACAGATATGATACGTCGTTGAGGCTGGCCGGCATCGAGACTGAGTGACTAACCCAAAAGAGAAGAAGAAGATGAAAGATCATCTTTTCGTAGAATAGTAGTGCTAGGTGATCGAGTGTAGACATGTCACTGTCAGGTTTTATGTATAAACACACTGTGTGACAATCTTATAGCTATAGTGCTCCTACAGCACTCTAAATACTGACTGGATGTGCACTATACTCGTGTTATCAAGCGTAACTACCCTAGTGGTGTTCACGAGTTTGTGCGACACGTTGAAGGTGATGGTGCAACGGCTACAGTGACTTCAGCGCCAATTCGGGTAAGAATCGACCATCGCAGAGGTCACTTGCTGCAAACTGTCACAGTCGCTGCGAGTGCTCGATTATCTGCTTGTTGCTGCGTGTCACTTCCTACATACTGACTGAAAAGGTCCTCCACTACAGTATCCGTGCACTCAATGCCTGCCGTCGGTCAATGCCCGCGTTTTACTAGTAAAAGTAGATACCTCTACAAGCTATAAATTCTTTAATACTTAATATTTTTAGAAGATTGTTTTAGATTTATAATCTAGAAAGCGAGCTATATAACTCTACTATAATGTTTTACTACTAACGTAGTTCACAAGCGAGTAACGCACTTAAGCAAGTAACGCACTTTTGCTAAGACTTTACTAAACTCTAATTAAGTTGTAATACTTTAACGTAATAGCGTAAAAATAATCTTAAATAAAGCAAATATATAGCTTATAATATAGGCTATCTAAAGAGACACGTTATTAATAACATAACGCGCTAGAGCTATCTATAGCGTCTTTAAAGTAACACTATAAAAGTAACTTACTAAAACGCTTTAATAACGTAATTACGCGCTTAACTTAATAGCTCTTTAAAGATCTAAAAAGATAGTAATTATTAAATATATTTTTAAGCTAGTAGAGTAAAGATATCTACCTAAGCTTACTAATATTAAAAAGATAGCTAATTCTTTACTTAAGATCTATAATTAGAAGCTAGTTAGTAACAACTAAGCTATAAAATTTAAAAATTATTATCTTAAGCTTAAAACTAAGTTTAATTAAAAGTATAACTATAGTAGAGCTCTTTATAAAAATTCTAAAGTTATTTAAGGCTAGTTGTCAGGCCTAGCTAATAATATATACTATCCTGCA